ATACACTTAGTCAACAAAAATTAAAATTGAAAAATCATTGCTTCTGTGTACTGACTGCCTTAGAGCTGTCTTAAAATAATATCAAATACTGTTACAGACACCACAGAAATCACATAAAGGAATGGAAGATTTAAGCACACATACGCAGAGAACAACAGTCTTGCCTGCATGTAGAGAACTGAGGGGAAAAAAAAGGCAATTCTGAATTGGCTGTGCAACTGTAGTGCAGCATGGGCCAATTGGTACCATCCTGGTACACAACTGAAACACAGCACCATCACAGTCGATAGCGGATCCTTACGAAAGGATCATTTCTTTACATCGTTCATGACCTCGTTCGTTTTGCTTTCTCCAGTCAGTGAACTTGTAGCACTTGAAAATAGCTCCACATTGGTCAGGAAAAATTGCTCTGGCCGTAACTTTTGGCTGCAGTTGTGGAGTGCTCCAGGCAACCCACATAGGAAAAATCTGTCATTTCTATGGCCACAGGACTGTGTTGGCCATGCACCATAGGGTCACTTGGTACATTACTGCTGCAGCTGCCTACAGCCCAACAAAGGCAATGTATTAAGCAAGAATTTCCACAGCTCATGGCCCATAACCTCTTTCTCCTAGCCATGCCACAGGGAATAGAAGAATACAAAAGACTTCATCCAGTGGTCTCACTGAAAGCTCTCGTTATCTGGAATGAGCTATCCATGCCTAATTGCTCCAGTTGTGCATTTTGTAGTAAGGCCCATTTACACAATTCACTTTGTTCAGATGTGTGAGGGGAAGAAAAGTGTAGGGCAGAGAAGGGTAGGAACTGTACCCTTGGTATACCTGTCCACTGTAGCCTCCCTGCTAAGGGCAGTTCTTCCTCCCCTCCGCTCCCCACCCCATCACACCATCTCACAAATACTTTCTCCTCTGAAAACTTGATGGAAATAGTTTGCTGTCTCACAGAATAAGTTTAGTTGGCATGTTTCTCTTGGCCATGCCTGTCAAAGGCATTTTGAAGTTCTTAGTCATCTGATATCCAGCTCTTTTACCTAAGGTGTGAGCTGCCCTGTGTTGTCTCCTATCTGCCTGATTTCCTTGTTGCTGGAGCCAGGGAGAATTTCTTAAGTCCCCCACACTTCTGAAGCCAAAAGTGGATGAGAGAGACTCGGAAATAACTCTGAGCCTTGGAATTACATGTTGTAGCTGCCCCTGCTGCATACATTCAGTGAGATTTGTCATAGATTTCAGCTCTTCTGTTTCTCTACACCCTCATTGCGTGGGGCGATTTGAGATGCAGCCATGCTAGTAAAATGAATCTGGCAGAAAAGCCTCTAATTACATTCAGCAGTGCAATGCAGATTTTTGCAATTATACTGCAGACACACTTTTAGTGCAGCACGCAGACACTGCCAGGATTGGTAAGAAAGCCCAGCACTGTGTCAGAGGCCTGCTAGACTGGCAGGGGATGTAGGAGAGTGGCACTTGGCAGCAACATGACCCTTTGTCACAGTGTCACCTGCACAAAAAGCCAAGCATGCTTTCTTCCCTCTAGGTAACAGATATCTCAGTGAGGACAAATCACCCGGAAATCCAAAATGCCAGAGGGGACCTGTGGCTCTAACACAAGCAGCCTGAAGAGGCAGCCATCCCCAGAGAGCCTTGCAAGAGTCTGGGAAATGCAGCACCCAGAAATCTGATGACAGGATCAGGCACTGAGAACTGAGGGCCACACTCAAGGCCACGATAAAGAAGAAAAGCAGCTGTTTCTCTCCTGATGTTCCTTGGTTCTCCTTCCTTTAATTTCTGACCAGTTTGTGATGTGAATGAGACTGGAGATGTTCACATTATGACCATTTCCTAGCTTTCCTTTTTTTGCTGACAAAAATGAGGGGTTTGTCTCAGTAGGAGTTCCAATGCATATCTCTCACAGAATCATAGAATCATTAAGATTGGAAAAGACCACTAAGACCATCTATTCCATTCACCAGCCCATTCCCACCATGCTCACTAAACCACGTCGCTCAGTGCCACATCCACACAGTCCTTGAATACCTCTAGGAAAAGTGACTCCACCACCTTCCTGGGCAGCCTGTGCCACTGCATCACTGCTCCTTATAAGAGTAAGTTCTTCCTAATATCCAGTCTTTCATCATTGTACCAGAGGTATCACCAGCTTGCATATCAGTGTCTATTGCAAAAGGTCTCAGACTGAGGCACTGCAAGGCACTCTCAAGCTGCAGTACTGGCTCTGCTCAGCAAGATTTGCCAGTCTGCTTCCTTCTGCTTAGGAAAATCATGTCAGCACATATCCAAGTCTTGCAGGTTGCCTTGTGGATATGCCATCAGCTGAGGCTGCATGCCTGATCAATTCCTTCATCTCCTCCCATTCTCCATTTTCCAGCTCAATCTTTTCAGCTGATGGATAAAATCAAACAAACAAACAAACAAAAAATCCCCATCATTTTAAAATTTTCTGTTGCAATAAATAGATTACAGTCAACTACAGAAAAACTGCTATTGATCTGGGTTGTTTCAGAAGCATGCTTGCTTTCTGCAGTCAAGCTTACAATACAATTTGTCCTACATTCAGCATCCATTCCAATTAAAAAGAGCAGAAGAAATGCAACTTATTTTAAATAAAAGGCTTTCAAGTTATTCTAGCAGGCTGCTTTGAGGATCTAGTAGAGATCAAAGCTGCTTTGAGAACTCATCCATTCTGCTTCAAATATGATAGCACATTGTCCATAGAAAAATGAAGGCCCTGGAATATCAAAGCCAGAAGTACATTTTGGGTTTCCAAGCAGCAGTCTCAAAGCTAGTGAATTCTGTCAGGTTAACAACAGACCAGGGGCAGCAGTGATCCTCTCAGACACAGTGCCCAGTGCATTGGCGGTTGCAGGAACCATACCAGAAATTGCTGCTTAAACTAATCAAGCTCTGTCATAATGACAGTGGGGTCTTCTGTATGGATCAAATGTCTTGGTCAGTACCAGCTTCTCAAAACTGATTGAAATTTTTCAATTAGAAGTAAGTTAGGAATTGAGCTTTAACCTAGCCTTACTTAATTCCTTTGCTGATTAAGACTTAAGAAGTTAGTTAGTTCCATGAACACTGTCCTTTAAATACAGCCTCTTTTTTTTTCCCCATTCAATGCCTGCTCCTTATGTAATTATAGACAGCAATCACATTTCCTTTCAGCTTTTTGCTAAGTTTAGCAAACCAGACTTTTTGGCACTCCATTCGCATGACAGTTCATCTTTCTCCTGCACAACCTGGTATGCTTCTCTCTCTTCCAGTTCCAGTCTGAGTGCATCTGTCTTGAATAAAGTTGACTATTCACAGTAATCTTAAAGAAATCTCACCAAGGTGACATACAGCTCTATTCACTCATATCTCTGCTCTATCTTTGTTCTATCTTCTCTGTGTGCCTTTCTACTGTCTCTCTGTTTTCTTAGTTTTGCACATCCTCCTACCGCTTCTCATTTCCACTTGTACTGCTTTTGGTTCTGCTTCTTTTCTTCACTGCTGCTTTTCTCATCGAAGACCAAAATAAGTGAGAAATGTGTCAGGCTCCCCTTTCCAAACTTGTTGATTGAACGTGCTGAAGAATAAGTGGTCTGCAGGGAGCAGGATTTATTGGTCTGTTAGCTTGAATGGAGCCGTGTGCTTCAGTCTTTTGACCCCTGAGCACAATTTCTGTGCAGTTCCATTGCTGCTGTTCCTTTCTCTGAACGTGCACTGAAGGACTTTTTTTTTATCACTGTGCTTTGAGTGTGGGGAAGACCTGATTTAGGGAATGGAGAAGAAGATTTCACTATCTGTTAGAAGTGGTTTTGAGCCTTTAACATATTTTTTGTTTTATTTTCCAAGGCGACCAACCCTGATGCCACGTGGCTAATTTCTTTTCCATGTCTTGAAATTAAAGGTGCTGTCCCAGGGAGACATCTGTCCTGGGACTTCCTCTGCTTGTTTGGATGTAACCTATGCTAGCAGAGAGTCCTTTCTTAATTTGAAGTTACAATGTGTACAAATTCTGATTAAACTCAATTCCTTTCATGAAGAAGAAATGCAGTATATTTTCTCTGGTTCTACCATGAAGAGATCTTGACAATGAAAAGAATAACGAATGTTCAAATGAAAGATGAAAGCCTTTGGTCATCTTCAGGCATGAAATTATCTGATTGCTGGTGTGTCCCACACCAAAGGAAGACCACAGTTATTTTTGCGAGCTAAGTATCGTAACAAGGATGGTTTCTAGAAAATAAACGGGTGGAAGTTGGATCCTAAAGGGAATTGCACTTGGAACAAAGACTAATGTAGAAGTTGAGACTTTAACACCTCTGACAGTGTCCCTTTAAATTACAGTTATTAAATTCTATGGAGCCGAAGTGTTCTGTGGTTATGCATATATTTGTAACAAACCGTTGCACAAATATTTGGCTTGTAACGATGAACTAAATGGTCTGACATTTGCCTGGGAAAATTAATTACTTTAACATGTGTTGTATAAAATATGAGATAATCATGTAATATATGTGTATCCTGTAGTGTTGCCGAGTGACTAAGTTATTACCAAAGGAAATTTATGAGAAATAAACAAGAAATATTCATAGATGCTGTAAATGTCATGTTATGCTCAAGGGCCTTTTGCAGCTGAACAGTTTTTATGTCGTTGAAGAGGACAGGATCAAGCAATGAAAAGTCAAGTTAGAATGAGTTCATCTTTGTATTTGCATGCCATTTTATTGGTATTTAATGTAGCTATGTTGTTTCCATTTCAGATTCTCGAATTCATAATGAAGATGACCAAACCAAATCATCAGACTAAACTCTGTGATCCAGCATGGTCTTGGTACCACATTTTAAGCTGTCTGCATGAAGAAGAAGAGCTGCCTGTTAGAGACACAGGGAATAAAGTAGCCTTGGTAGTCAGATTATGGCTGCTTGGTTAGGCAAAATCTTACTGCCTGGTATATGTAGTTTGATGTTTTTGGAAGAGTGAAGGGAGCTCCCTTCATGGTGCATGTGAAGAGGTTCATTCTCTTGGGGATTCTCACATCTCACAGCAGCGAAGGTGGAATGCCTCCCAAGCACTACTCTCCCTCCTATTACGATGCTCTGCACAGGAAAAAGAAATGGGAAGGAGTGAACTGGAGAAATATGAACTGACGAGGGAAAAACAGATACATGCATTCTTACAGAATGCCAATCCCTAAATAGCAGCAGGAAATAATACAGTAAAAATTATATCCATTGCACTCATCTCCTCTCCCCGAAGAAAGAAACTCAGACAGATGATGCTCTTTTGTGAGCAACTAGCAGAATGATTTTAAACAATGTGGCTTGCTGGTTTTGGGGGCTTTAACTACTCCAACAGTTTTGAAGAAAATGAAAAACCAAGGCACAGCCTGCTCTGTGCATGTGACACTGGCATTTTGTCATACAGCATTTCCAGAGTTGGCTCCAAACAAGAGAGGGGAGTGTAGAGGGGAGGACAGAGTCCATGAAAGACTTAAGGATTCTTATGCCTCAGTGAGTGAAGAAAGGAAAGCACACAGCTGGAGGCAGAGGACTTGAAGGCAGCAGACTTCAATGAACTCAGAGGATATTTGCAGGTGAATTCACTGGGAATCAAACCTATGGGAGAAAAGAGATACAGAAAGAGTTGATGATTATTTTAAAAATGAAAAATAAAAAAGTCTCTAGGAGCAGAATTACAAAATATACATTAAAAAAAGTGTATAGAAAGGGTAGAAAATGCAGTAAGAAATTTCTTTGAAATCACAAGCTCTTCAGTGATCTCGAGTGCAAGGAGGGAGTGCACAGAACACAGAAATTAGGTCAAATATCTAAAAATGAATGTTAAAAAAAACCTCCGCCTGAGCATACAGGGACTAAATCAGAAAGTCTGAGGCACAAAACAAAATACTTTGCCTATTCTTTGCTTATGCTAGTAAGTAATTTTAACACAATTAACAATAAAGGAAAGTGAGGAGAGAATTTCTGCATGGGTAGAAAAATGGGCATATGATGCTGAGAAGCTCAGAGTGTCCAATATCTTTTGTGAAGAAGACTAGAAGAACACAAATAGAGTGCTTCCATTAAAAGTAGGGGCAGGGAACTGTGGAGACAGGGAATTAGTTATGGGTGCTGGGAAGACTCACCCTAAATGCACTTGTGGCAAAATGTGAGATCCCTTCTGGCTCCCTCTACCACAAACCTGCCTAGACATAAGATTGCATGGTCTGTAAGAGCTGTAACAAGCTGGGAACACCAGAACTGAAGTGAGCCAGGAGAAACAGAAGTGAATGGTGGGTGCACTCTGCAGCTGAGAGCAGCTGTGGCACATTTTGAAAAGAAGGTGTACAGCAAGGAGAGGAGGATGAAAGGAGCACTTGTTGGCTGGTGGGGGTCATTTGTTGTGTGGCTTTGAGCATTCTCACCTTCTAAGCTGAATGTCAAGAAAAGATCTAAAAGCCTTGCAGATAACAGGAAGTCAAACCTTCCCAGGGGTGTGATAGCATCTCTCTGTGCACCGGTGCTTGTGGCAGTGCCTGAAGGAGAGCACCAAACAGGGGAAAAGTGCTGCATGTAAGAAATCCCAAGGTTCCCTCTCTGGAGCTGTGATTCCTTATGTTTACGGCCGTGGTGGATGAGACAATACAAGAGGTAATCCTGTTACCTTAGAAAAACGCTCCAGTAATGAGGACAATGAAGAAGTGTCTTACACACCTCTCATATTCCAGAGCTTGTAGCAACAGGTTAGACAGATTTATGCTAGGTATGGCTTAGGTATACCTGACCCACTCCCAGCTTGGAGGGATGTTGTGAATGCATTTGAATAACCTCTTTCAGCACTGGTTTTCACCCAGAGTGCTATGATGCTTATCTTCAATGATCCCGAGGCAATGAAGCTTCACCCCCACGCTGGGTGGAGCAGCCTTCCTCTCTCAAACTCTGGCTTTCAGTGCCATTGATGGGCTTTGCCATCATACTAAGTCAATGTCAGAAGCGCTAGGCCTACCTGCTCTTGACTCCCTTAACACCTATACTTTTGATTGTTCCTTATGTAAATCAAACAGCTTCCTCAAACTTAATTTGTTTTGTTGTCTTCTTTTGTTTTGTTTTGTTTTGTTTTTTTACCAGCTTCCCTAACAATTTTCATTCACTGTGCTTTATTCTTCTATGCGTCTTTACAGAGATAAGACTAATATTGGCCACTGATTTATGGAGAAAAACAGATTATTTGACAGATGGTTGAGATGTGGAGCTGTCAACTGGATGCCTGAAATGCCTTCTAAAGAGCCACAAGCTCACTTTTTTCTATGGAGGTATTCTAGAGACCTTAAGCTCCTTAAACAAAATTAGCTCTTCTGAATAGATATTTACAATGTTACACTGACCAGAAACAATTGCAATATCATGGGTGAATCACCACGACATTATAGTAGCACTGTAATATCATAATTTTGGATACATATCTTACGTACCTCTGTATCTTGGTTGTGGTTGGACTGTTGCTGTACACTGAGCTTCTGGGTGAGTGTTCCATTGTTATCATAGAATCATAGAATCCTTTGAGTTGTAAGGGATCCTTAAAGGCCATTTAGTTCAACCTTCCAGCCTTGTACAAGGACACCTACAGCTACATTAGATGCTCAGAGCCCTGTCCAACCTGACCTTGGGTGTCTCCAGGGATTGGGGATCCACCACCTCTCTGGGCAACCTGTGCCAGTGCCTCACCACCTCTATTGTAAAAACCTTTTTCCTTATATCCAATCTAAATCTCCCCTCTTTTTATTTGAAACTGTTGGGAAAATTTCTGCTCTGATAGGCTGGCCCAGTTATCTTTATTCCAAAAAGAGACAAAGGCTTTCTTTATTCAAATAAAGGGAGAGTCAACTAGGGGCATATCCCTGGAGGATCTCTCGAAGTATCGAGGGACAGAGCCCATCTTTTATCCCTGTACCCCTATGCTAAGTAAGCCCTTCCTACTTTCCCCATTGTTTAAGGTACTCAGGGTTCACATACTTCTCAGTTTGCTGCACTCATCCCCAGTAAGTACACTCCTTCATTTCCTTTGTTTGTACATACTTTGTAATCTGGATTCAGTTTGCTGTTTTGTAACCTGTGAAGTCTATCACTCTTTGTTCTGTTCAGCAAACAGGATTTACACACAGGTGCTAAGCTAGCACCTTCTGCCATATACCTGCAAGACAAGTTTGTTTAACTAGTTCTTCTTCTCTGATCTTACTTTTCAAGGACATCTTCTCCTTTCTTCTTTCATCTCAAAACCATTTCTCCTTGTCCTATCAGAGCAGACCTTGGTAAAGAGTCTTTCCCCTTCCTTCTTACAGCCCCCTGTAGGTACCAACAAGCCACTCTCAGGTCACCCCACAGCCTTCTCTTTTCCAGGCTGAACAGCCCCAACTCTCTCAGCCTGTCCTCATAGGGGAGGTGTTCCATCCCTTGGATGAACTTGTCCTGGCTTCTTGTCTTAACTTTGTTGGTGGCTGCTCTGGACCAAGCACTGTACAGAGAGCTTCATCCACTGGATGTGATTTTGCATTTGTGAGCAACAGCTTTACAATCTGTCCATGCACTGGGCTGGAGAGAATGCTTAGGAATTATTAACTCCTTGTTGTCTCTGCTTAATCTAAATAACTTTGTGTCACCTTCGAATCTACCTTCCCCAACTATTTTGTGTGGTTTCTTATTAAAGGATTATTTTTCAATCATCTTCTGTTCAAGGAAAATGAGGTATGAAAACATAGTCAGTTTGAGTTGAATGTTATGTAATCCTAAGTGGCATCAAGACTTCCATTGTTACTCTGAAGTAAATTAATAATATCCCTAATCGAAAGCATTTTGCTTTGCTAACTGACTTTGCTGTTTTTGCAAAAGTGATTGCAGTATATACTGGGCAGTACAACTTCAGGCAATAACCTCCTTCAAAATGTGCACCATAACATGGCATATAACACACAGGATCCAGATTTATGTGTTTCTCTAATAAGGGGAATTGCAGTGTTGAAATGGTAAAGCTCAGATTTAACCTGTTGTAAGTTTTCCCCCTTTCATATCTTGTGAGAGATCCATTGCCAACAGCAAATGTTGAAGTAACAGGATAGATCAGTTTGGAGAAGGTCTTGGAAGATCTGTAGAAATAAAGCAACAGCCAGCTGGGCATATGAAAGGGTAGAACCTCACGTTTGCTAGCAAGGGGTTTATTTGTGTAGAGTCCTAAGAATTCCAGGTACTGACATGCCCACCTCTGTCAATTGGTCTCCTCTCAACTATGGTGGGCAGCCTATATGCCTCCAGAGTTGAACACCTCAACAAGATCCCTTCTCTCTGTACTTATCCTTCTTTCTTAAGTTCCCTTCTTACCAGGCTTCTAATAAAATTCTGTTTTCAGGATACTGCCATCTAATGCCTTTCCCCTGTGCTGGTTAGTCTCCTCTTGGGAAGTAAGTAAGCAATTGAGGAAGAAGCATCTTGGGCATCGTCCATCTTGGGTGATGGGCTGACATCTCCACCTGTGGTGATCCTAACCACAGTTCCCTTTTACCTCCACTCTTCCCCCATCAGGGTTCCTTCACTCTAGCACAACCTCAAAAATAGCTAAAAGAGAAGAGGATTTCTCTGTAATTTTTACAATCATGAAAGTAAGAACTCCCACTTTCTTCTTCCCTGGTTAATGTCCTAAATTCTCTTGTACCTGTGTAAACAACTAGGAAAGACTGACTTTGAAATTATGCCCCTCCTGCCTTTTTTTGGGTCCAGCAGTTTAAGAGATTTCACGGATTTTGGACTTAATGATCATTGTAGGCCCCTTCCAATTGAAGCTGTTCTATTCTATTCTTATTTTGCTTTTAGGACAAAATTAGATTCACTGAAATGATTAGCAGCTTTATTAAGTGTTAAACATGCAGCTGTACTAAATAAGTTGAATTAATTTAACTGTAAATAAGAGCCAAAATTCAGTATAATCAAATTAGTACAATGAGCTGCAATAACAGCTATTGAAACAAAATGATGCAATGTCAACTGCATTTACAATTTATGCTGATCTGGAAAAAAAAAAAAAAAAAAAAAAAAAGGTACCTGGGAAGACTGTCATCAGAGTATTACTGGGAGTTTTTTCTATTGCATAATTTTTTAAGAACCAGACCTATTTACTTGTCAATCGAAAATTAAACCAGTGAGACTCAATTACTTCATGACACTATTCCCTTTGAGGATGAACATGACTCACAACCAGTTTGTAAAGAAGATGAGCTCTCATTTACTTTAGCTACATGACCTGCTTAGTTCTCAAAGGGGCCCATCAAACTGAAATTAGGCAGTTAAAAAAGTCATTCTAAATAAATTCAGTAACTAGCAGATCGTGGTGTCCCTCTGCTTAACTGATACAGCTATACAATCACATTTTGTAACTGTTGTCATGATTCTCTCCTAAGTAAGAGCATGAAGGTGAAGGGAGGTGATTTTTATATAACTTCAATGACAATTTTTCAGCCTGTGTATCAAGTGACAGATCATACAAAGCATGATTCTGTCCGTTACCAAAAGCACGTTGCATTCTGTCCTATGCTATCACTAACCATGTTTTTCTATGCTTTCTGCATTTTCACGGTGAGGATTGCTGCGGTGGCACTGGTAATTTAAAGCAAGAAGATTTCTATAGGGCCAAGCTGCCAACATAAGCTGGGCACAGAAAGCTCTGCCCTTCAGAGCAGATCGGATCAATTCAAGGTCCTGGGAAGAGGAATTGGCATCGTTTCATTTGAAGTGCATTGGTTCTGGCCATGATTTCTCTCCCAACTGAGGGACTCCTTGGGGTGCAATGTTTGTGCTATTTTGCTGCTGATTTTTTTACAGGAGGTTTGAGTAAATATAATGATATTTGGAAAAAAAACCCAACCCACTTTTTAAAAATCAGATCCAGCTCAGAAGCTTTGCTTCGGGGAAGAAGACTGTTTGGGTGTTTGTAGAATGCTTTCAATAGGAGCTGTGCAGAGGTGAGGGTGAGAATCCCAGCTGTAGAGGCAAGCTGGATTTCCCAGGGCTGTGATTCAGTTGTACAAAGAAAGGTGCCTAAGCACAAGTAAAAAACTCTACAGTATCTGAACCACCCATATAGAAGACATTGTACAGATAGTTTAGATAGCCTGAGATATCCCAAGGGCGGTGGCCCCCTGTTCAGGCACCAGAGTCTGCTTCCTCTGTTGCCCCACCAGAGATTAGATGACACCCAGATCTACAATATCCTGTACAAATAATTGCATACATACAAGGAAAGGCAATTTTACAAAAGAGGTCTAACAGGTGTAAACTTAGGAGGCTTAATAGGGCAAAATCCTTGAACTACTTTGCTACTCTTCAGTGAATCCTTCAGCAGCAATAGGCTCCCTACAAAACCTGTGTTAGATTAGCACATCTCAGATTTATGATATGTCTTCCCAGCCTTTACTGCCTCTTGCATTGAGACAGAGCTGAGCATTTCAAAACCATCACTGCTAGATGGTTGCCTAATCTCCTTGAAAAGTAGGAAACAACTTCCTTATGTTATGTCTCCGAGTGTTGTACGGCTCCTATCATTAATTAAGATGTTTTCTCTATTGCCTAGCCTAAATCTTCTTTACTTCAGTTTAAGCTGATTTCTTCTTGTCCTTCCTTTGGTGGACATGATGAGTGGTTGATCATAATCCTCTTTATTACAACCTCGTACGTACTGGAAGTCTAGCAGACAGCTTTTCTGTGAACTTGTTTTTGAACTCAAAAATAACTCTTCCAAATAATTTTGCTTTTATTCCACTTGGCCAAAAAACGAGTAGTTTTCATAAAAGAGAGAGACAAGCAAGATCCTTTGATAACCATCACTGTCCCTCTGCAAACACAGGTTTTAGCCTTCCGAGAAGTGACCTGTCAGACATTAAACTGATATTCCATTTATTGGTGCCACGTGCAATCTGTAAATCCTTCTAGCGAGACAAACATTTACAATTTTGTTCCAACAAAAATGTTTGGAGAACTGACTGGTGCCTCTGATTCCTCAGTGAACTTGCAGTGGCCTATGCGACTGGTTGCTGAGCCAAGGGAAGCTATATTAGGTAATCTGGATATTAATACAACAGACTTCCCTCTTCTTACAGAGCTGGAGATTAGGAAAGGTAGTGTAGATGATCAACACAATCCGAGTATGTCAGTTTGACAAGTCTCTGTGGAGTATCTTCTCACCAATACTGCAGCTTCAGCTCTGCCTGTTCAGCCAATGAACCAGACACACAGGACCTGAGGGTAACGTCCATCAGTTCTGTGACCTGAGGAGTATGTTAAAAACAGTGTGGCCAGCAAGCCAAGAGAGGTGAGGCCTGGTGAGGCCACATCTGGAGTACGCTGTCCAGATCTGGGCTCCTCAGTTCAAGAGAGCGGAAACTTATAGGGAGAGTCCAGTGGAGGCTGACAGAGCACTGGAACAGGCTGCTCAGAGATGTGCTGCAGCCTTCCCTGGAGACATTCTAGACCTGCCTGGACACATTCCTGTGCAACACTTAGTCCCAGGGACTAAATGCAGTGCAGGGTTTGGGTTTACTCAAGACCGAAAGCAGGAACCCCTCATGGCAGATGCTACGTAAGTGTGCTGGTCATGGTGGATGCTGTAGATGTGGAGGGCACAAAGGATACTCTTGTGTCTCCAAACTCTTCCCTTGTTTTCCCAGTGGTGTGGCTTACACTAACATCATGCCTTGCTCCCACAGCTCTTGCCTCGCTTGTTTTGCTCAGCCTGCCTAGATAGAGCTGGTGCTGGGCACTGTGGAAACCCATGCCACATGAAGCTTTGGAAAAATGCAGCTGCTCTACAGGTTGATCTTAAATTACTTAATGCCATAGTGGTTTAAATTACATTGATCTTCCTAACAAATGGTGCAGATTTGACTGCAGGGAACATTACTTCAGCATATCCCGGAGTATTTTTTCCGTATGAGAAGAGAAATACCACATGCTGCCACAATATTTCTCTGTGTTAATGTCAACTGTAACCACATGGGGATTGGTATCAGTCAAACTATTTCATTAAGGAGTTACATTCCTGCCTAAAATAAATCAAATAATACAAAGGTGCAGAGATCAGACCAGGAACTTGTGTGGAGATATAACATCCTGAGAATTTGTCTTCTTGTCTCTTCTTATTAAACCTGCAGATGATAAACTGTGCATAGTTCACATATTTACAGAGCTCTGTGAAAGATTAACAGTTACCTTCTGTATAATATATTAACATAGGGAAAAAAAGCATTTGAAACTGGAGAGACATCTGAAACTCTTTGAAAAGGTAAACCACAAGCACAACATTGCCATGAACTCTTCTCATATGGACAAGAAAGGATTCACACTGATAAATCCTATTAACAGAGATTATTTACATAAATCTTTTGTGCACCATACTCCAAACCATATATATTAGCTACAGTTCTCCTGTGGCATGTGTGTTAGTATGATGCATTTTTAATAATACGTTCATGTAGACACTTACAGATGCGCATTCAGGACTCACCAGTGTTTGGTTTCTCCTGCAGAAGAGAAGCTGAGCTCACAAACCTATAGATGCCGTACTCCAGCGCTCCTCCTTGGTTTTCAGTGCAAACTTCACAGAGCACTCATGTGCCCTCAGTAATCCCACCCGTGGTAGGTGACCACAACTGCTCCATAAAGGCTTTCTGACAGCCTCCTGCTCCCATCCCAGGATGTGATTTATCACTGCAGTCTGGGTGCTCTGACGACTTTTAAGAGTACTAATTGCCTTATTATCCACTCCAATGCAAGAGTAAAACCTTTTGACATTTTACTTCCTTCCCTGAGGAAAACAAATCCCAGTTCCTGGGACATTACCTTCTGCTGCCTCTGTGATTACTGGGGCAAAGAATTCCTTTAGGTTGTCTGCCTTATCAGCCTCATCTGTCACCAGCTTCCCACTCCTGGCTCTCAGCGCTCCCTCATTGCTTTGCACCATTCATTATTTCCCCCCCCTTTTTTTTTTTAATTTTCCTTTTTTTTATTTGTTAGGTCAATGTTCATTACATATTCCATTCTTTATTTTTTATCAGTGTGCTTTATCACATCAGGCTCTGTGATACCTTGCTTCAGTTAACTATTTTTATATTACTGCAGGAGAGCCTATTAACAGAAGGAAAAAAAATGTGATGCACTTTTCTGGTTGTTCCACATTTAAATCCTAATCCAAGTCCCATTGATGGGACTACCAGAGCCTTCTGATTGCACCAAGATGTTCACCACCACTAGGCCACGTCATGTGTAGCTTTGCTCAGCCATCTCCTGCAAATCCCTGAAGACAGAGAGCTCACACTCTCCCTGGGTGACCGGTCCAGTGCTGCACCGACATTCTCTTGAAAGCATTTTTTCTAATATCTGCTGTGAGCCTCCCAAGCCACCATGTGTGGCTTCTTGTCTTTGAGGATTGGCTTCATGGCTCCATCATCCTTGTTACTTCCCTTCAAGTGGTTATAGGCAGCTTTGGAGTGCCCCATGGCCTTCTCCAGGCTAAATAACCTGGATTCTCGTCCTTTCCTTTAGACACCTGACCAGCATAGATGTTTTTCTATAGGCCACCTATTTCTTCATGTCCTTGAACTGGAGAGTCAAAAAATGGACAGTATTTCCAGGTGTGGTGTTACCAATGCTAAGTACAGACTAGAAAGTTCATTACTATCCATAACTGCTTCTCCTGGAACTCCAAGATTTCTCTTGGTGCAACATTCAGATTTCTCAAGTCTGCCTTTGAATTTAAGCTTTACAGCTCTACATTTGGCACTCTAAGTGCCAAATATCTCTCCTAATTCAGTATCATTCACAGTTCTATTGAGAGGTACACTGAAGACATGGAATAGCATTTATGCTGTAGCAGTGCCTGATGACCTGCCTCTTACCACTGCCAGCTCTATCTTGGTATGGTGTTATCAATCCCGGTGTTTGTTCTACCTTTGATTTCATTCATATACAACCTAAACAGGCAGTCAAACATTTGCATGGCTTTACTTGCACAAGCAGTCTCAAAACAAAGCTCCTACAGGAGTCAGCATGTATTTTATCTATCTGGCACAAGAAGCTTTAAAGTTTAGAAAACAAGTATCATAGAATCATAGAATCAGAATCGTGGAATCACAGAATGGTTTGGGTTAGAAGGGACCTCAAATCTAATGCTGCCCCAACCCCAGCCATGGGCAGGGCTGCCCCCCACCAGCGCAGGCTGCCCAGGGCCCCATCCAACCTGGCCTTGAGCACCTCCAGGGATGGGGAACCACAGCTTCTCTGGGCAGCTGTGCCAGCGCCTCACCACCCTCTGGGGAAGAATTTCTGCCTAATACCTAACCTAAACCACATCTCTTTTAGTTTAAAGCCATTTCCGCTTGTCCTGTCACTATCTACCCATGTAAAAAGTCATCCCCCCTCCTGTTAATAAATTCACCTGAAGTACTGGAAAACCACAGTGAGGTCTCCCCACAGCCTTCTCTTCTCCAGGCTGAACAAGCCCAGTTCCCTTGGCCCTTCTTCACAGGAGAGGTTGACACACGGAAATCAAACCCTGTAGCCTATAAGGATATAGAGCAGGTATGTTTTATTAGCGATGCTCATACGCCCCGGTGCAAGGGGGATAGTTCCACCTAACTTGCACACTGTGAGGACAAAGCGTGCTGCAGACACAGGCCGAACTAATACATAATCGATTTTTTCCAGGAGTTCATATACATATTCATCAGATTTCCGAGAACCCATTAGCATGCAGATGCGTGCGGTGGTAGTGAGCTGCAGGGGTCTCCTCCTGGTGGTCGTGGGATGAAGAACCATCGTTTTCCTCACAAAGGCTTGTAGTCTTCTTCGCTGTAAACTTCCGACCCTGTGGGAAGGGCAGCCACCGACCCAGTTAATCTGCCCGGAGGACATCTTATCACCTCCCTGCCCGAAGTCCTCAGGCTGTTCTCAAACTCTTTATTTCTCTACCCCCCTCATTGTCTCAGTCCCAGTGTCTGCAATCCCCATTCTTTTAACAGCCTCTGCACATTTGCTTCTGTAAACTCTCTTTTACCCTTTGTTTCTGTGAACCATCTTTTACTCTTCAAGGTGCTCGAGATTTCTGAGGATATTTGCATCCTCCCATGATCCACCCCAACAGTTCCAGGTCTTTCCCGTGATAAGGGCCCCAATATTCCAGATGAGGCCTCACAAGGGCAGAGCAGAGGGGAACAATCCCTGTCACGCTTTGCTGGCTGCCCCTCTTTTGGTGCAGCCCAGCATACAGTTGGCCTTCAGGCCTGCAGGTGCACACTGCTGGCTCACACTGAGCTTTTAATCCACCAGGACCCTCAGGTCCTTCCTGACAGGGCTGCTGAGTGAGTTCTGCTCTCAGTCTGTACACATTATCTGCAACTGCGCTGACCCAAGTACAACACTGCATTTGGCCATGCTGAATCTCACTAGGGCCCATTTTTCAAGCATACATGGTATTACATAGAGGAAATTAGCAATGTTTTAGAAATAAATTCTCTCAGTGTTTTTCAATCTTAACAATCATAAACTCTTAAGGAACATTAAGAATATGGACATTCCTGCTAAGATTCAGTTCTCTTTTTTTTTTTTCCCCAAGTTGTTTCTCAAACAATCCTAACACTTGGCTTTCATACATTCCTTTCATGTCTCTGTGGGTCTTTCTTACATTAATAGTTTTGTTCAGGTGCATTCTGGCTTTTATTCCTGTTTGACTAACTATCGTGGCATTTTGATTTGTTCACTGGAGAGGGTTTGAAGCCTGAAAATAAAAATGTGGATTGGGCTGCAGTGTGAGTTTGTTGACCGTCAAATACATGAGAAAACAGGCTACACTTTACTTCAAGGAAGTAAGCCATTCCACTAAAAGTCATACTAGATATATCAGTTCTTAATTCTCTGTGTGCCATGAGTGCACGTGGGCAAGCATATGTAGATAACCTCTTGTGGTGATGAAAGTCCAAAGTGTTTATGTTGAACAGGAGTTGTATGGCTCAATAATCATTAATTTCCTTTGTGGATACTGACATAGTTTATGAAGAATTTTTATACTATGCAGAGCATATATGCAGAAAGGTTTTCCTTTATAGCTTAAGGCTGAGTGAGCCTTCCTTTTCCTTCCTTCCTTTTTTTCTTTTCCTTCCTTCCTTCCTTCCACCTGGAGCATTTCCACAAGCAGCATATTTAACTACTTAGCAACAATTTAAAGCAAACTTTGAGATGAGAACCCGGTGTCTTCCCACACTCGTACAAAAGCTGAGGAACATCCACAGGACAGAATCACAGAATCATTAAGGTTGGAAAAGACCTCTAAGATCACACAGTCCAACCACCAGCCCATTCCCACCATTCCCACTGCCCATGTCCCTCAGTGCCACATCCACACGATTCTTGAACACGTCCAGTGATGCTGACTTCACCACCTCCCTAGGCACCCTGTGCCACTGCCTCACTGATGTTTCTGAGAACAAACAGTTCCTAATAGTCAACCCTAACCTCCCCTGAATGCACCAACGGAGGAGACCAGGACTTTGTGCCAGAGCACCTGGCTTGGTGGGCTGAGTATTGCTCAAGGGAGGGGGAGAAGTTTCTCAGGAAGGAGGAACTTTCCTTGAGCTCTAACCCAGAGCTGTCAGCTGGCAGTCCAGGGGCTGTGTCAGTTGCAGGGTTTATTCCTCAGCTGGTGCTTTTTCACAGACTACATGCTATGTATGTTATGAAGCATGCACAGGCACCAATTTTAAATTACAGAATTGACTTCTGCAGCTTGTTCTGTACACATCCCCCTTTTTAAGACCTTACGACAAATGAACATAGAACGCAGCTGTCTCAGACTGGCTGATAAAACAAAAACAGCCTTCAAAGACTTAGCCAAATTCTGTCCACTTAAAGTTCAGTAATAAAATCACAATGATTTTGACCAAGCAGTCATATTACTTTAAATTAAAACCTGATGTTGCTTTAACTAAAATAATTTTTAAAATTAGATCATGTCATTAAGATAATGCAAAATGAATAGATGATTTATAATCAAGCTCTTCCAAAACTCATTATTCAGTAAACTTTCAACAGATGTTCACTGCATCGCAGAGGGATACGTGGCATGCCTTGGTGAATCATTTAGCTGCATGTTCAATTCTGAAGTGACTGATAACAACTGCTTGAGGCAAAAAGATATACAAACTGCAAAAGCTAAGGCAGAAAAACCACTAGAATTATTTTATCTTGAACTTCATCTAGCAGTATTAGCCACGGCCAGAGAAACAAGATTTTGCTTTTTCCTCTTTAAATGTAACGGAGCACTCCTGTGATGTACCTGAACATTGCTCCATCTTTCTTTGAATGGAGCCTGCTTCTTTGTTTCAAGCAGCACACAGTGGAAACATTTTCCATTCCTTTGTGAACACATCTCTCTCTGGTGGGTTCACGTTTATTCCCCTGAGTTTTCCTATAGTTCTCCAATTGCACAACCAGAAGCACAAAAATGCTGGTCTACCCCTTCACTAATCTAGGTTTTTCTTAAAACAATCCTTTCTGATTGTCTGCTTCTTAAAATGAATGATCTCTTTTCCCCCTAAAATGGTCTTATAAAATATTTTTTCTTCAGTCTGTTTCACTCTCTTCTCAATCTTCTTTACCTCCATGAGGCTTTGTCAGAGAGGATAACAGCAACTCTGAAATCATTCCAAGGAGGACTGTACCACCAGAACATCAAACTGCTGTTATGTTCCACTCCATTTTTGAGGTGCCATCACCTTTTTTTTTTTGGCTGTAACATTACAGAGAATTCAGCTGTATACAGGGACACACAAGTCCTTAGTCTGAGCTGACACACAATAGACACTTCTTTTATGTTTTATTTCTTCACGTTTATTGCTACTCCATCACCTGCTCTACTGGCATTTGTGGTACTCCTCATCACCAACCCAGACCCGAGGAACAGCAAAGAACTTTGCAAATACTTCAGTGCCAGCAGCCATTATTTTCCTCAAGCCATTAATGTATTACATAAGGCCAATTCTTATACAAACCACCAGCCTTCAATGTGCAACTACACCATTTCTCCATTATTTTGTCTTTCAGCCAATTTCACATCTACCACAGTATAATGCTTCTTATTCCAAAGGCTTTGAAAAAAATAAGAAAAAAATATACAAATCTAGTTCAATCATGTAGTTTTTTATTCACTGAGAACCTCAGATAACAGCAATAGGATAGCAAAACATTCCTCAGCAGAAATTGGGCTTACAGACTGCTATGAAAGTTATTTTAAATTCTGCTTTTAACTATGAAGCACATTCCTTGGTCACAGCAGCCTTTTCAGAAAGGACTCTACAATACATTCCCTTGAAATCCTTCTGTGTAATAGAATGCTTTTTAAATGCTCGTCTATAGGTCTTTGTATTGGGGTAGTCACTTCAGTCTCAGATCCCTTCAAAACATCCAGGCTCCCCACAGCCAGTCTCTGTGATGTGCACCACTTGGCTGCAGGTAACTCTTGAGATGCCAAAATCCATTAACTGCATCAGCAGAAAACAATACAGTGATCACCTTCCCAACATTGCTTGGATTGAATACTAAGGAAAAGACACTTTCACACCACACTATTTTCGTCATTCTTTAATCCCAGATGAGCTGGCCTTCTCTGGGCTTCTCCCTTCCAATAAACTGCAACAATTTGTACATTGCTGTAGAAATTTGCCTTCTGAAAACTAAAAACCTTCAGATGTTAACATTATTTGTGGTTGTGTTCACTAGTGTTTCTTTTTTTTTTTTTTTCCCCTTTTCTTGTGGGGTTTGTTTGTTTGTTTTCTTTGTGTTTTAATATCCACAAAGTCTTCAAGAGGTTTTAGGTTAACTAAATCCTTAAGCACGGCAGGCATGCATGACGTGCTTCAGAACTTACCCTGGCCAGATGCATAGATGTGAAGTTAACCTACAGTACAGGCCTCTGAAGTCCACAGTTGCCCTAATCTAAATATATGTTAGCTTACAACAGCCAAGGCCTTTCTTGTACAGTCCACTGGATGGATGTTCATCACACGTCTTACATGCCAGAAGTTCACATTCAGCCATCAGATGGCTAATGCATCACTACCACAGTTCAAACATTTAACTGAGAACCCAGCACAACCTGCATGAGGCAGGCTCAGTTTCACATTAACTTGTTGGTAGAATATTTAAGCAGAAAAAACAGGGCCTTGGGTAAAAGGTTCACAAGCCTGAAATGCAGAAACATGTACAAAGTACGTGTTTGGATTCCCAACTTCTTGAAGATAATCTTGCAACAAATTACCTAAACCACTTTAAAACCCTGCTTCAGAATTAATTTTCCAGCCTTTCTACAGCTATGCTTCCAATCTCCTTTAGAGTCTGCCTCCCGCTTTGATCTGTCAAAGATGGAGAACAACCACATCCAGCAGTTCCATTTGCTTTGCCAGACTTCAGAAGAAATAGGCACTCTTCCAATAGGCTGACTGAACCCAATCTGTACCCTAGCTTCTCCATAGCTGACACTCTGGGAACTGGAAGTCAGATTTTAAAAAAAGTCTATGTTGGGCAGAACATAGTGGCAATAGAGGTGAATATGAAAGTCAGCATCATCTCCAATTTCACTTCCAGCTAAAACGGACTGCAGGAGAAGCCTTGGGTTCATTCAAGGTACATCATGATGACGTGATACCAAGCCCTGCGAAGTACTAACCCTGCAAAGTGCTCATACCAGAAGCTTCGGCACTTCGTTTCACCATCTACTCATGTCTGAAATGACCTCCACAGTTTACTGAGTGTGAAACAATTAAGCATCAGATCATTGCGGAGTCTGCATTTGCAACAATTTGCACCACAATTTTATCGGTGAGTTTATCCATGTCTGCACATCTGGGAAAAACAACGTAGACATGCACTTAGAACAGGAATCGCAGGTAACTTGCAAATATTCGTACCAGATGCCCACAGGCTATGAAATGAGACATTCTCTATGCATACAACGGCCAGAGTCAAAGTTAATTTTCACCTTTAATGAGCTCATGATTCTTTGTTATTTAATACTCCATAAAAAGAGTATTACAGATTTAAAGATTATTGCAGTGACTTTGAAGAACACAGCCAGCCATCAGGCTGGAACTACAGTATCATATACATTATGCAGTCATTGATACTATCTACTACAGCATGAAGAAAAATACTTTGAAAATAAACAGTATTTACTTGCAAACATAGAAATGGAGCTTTCTCTCTTACAATATGGTTACATACCTATATTCCAAGAATAACATTTTAAAAATGCTAGATCTTGAAAGGTCATAGATAAAAAGTCATGATGACGATGAACCAGTTTTGCCCCAAAATGCTTTTAATGAGCACGCTGCAGTTTTTCAGCAAATCCTAGTTTTGCCAAGCTTCAAGAGGCAGAAGCCTAAAATGTAAAAGCTTCCAAGTTGTCTACCTAGTCCTCTCATCTTGCTCTGGAGGGCCCAGTGATCCACACTGCTTTCTGACAGTGTGTCACCACAACTGTTCTTAGATGCGAATGCCATCACGAAGAGATGGTTCAGATCCTTACGATGCAAGGCCCAACAAAAAGCCTCCAACAAATCCACTGGAGACCACGATGTTCTGTTTGATAAATTCTGTTGACTGAGAAGAAAAACAGCATGCGTCAAGAACTGAGCCCATTGTGTCTGACTGTAGCATTTAATACTTTCATCACAACTGCCTGGAACAAGCATAGTGAAACTGAGAGCGGTTAGTAACAGGGTTGAAAACACAAACAGTTAGGTGGCAACTTCTGGCAACAGTGGAGTGACAACTGACTCTAGACTGAGTTTAACAATACGTTTACAATACAGGTAGCATTTGGAGAGTTTAACTACTAAGCAATTCTCTATTCTCTAAGCAATACTATTCATGGAATAGTAATTCCATGTCAATGCCACTCTTTTTATTAAAACCAGAGAGTTGTTTCACAAACCTGGCAAAAAAAACCCCAAACATATATGAGTACTATCATCATTTCAATTTAAATCACACACATACAAAAAAAGTTAGTATAAAATTAATGCTCTTTTGGAAGACAGAGGCATTGGAAAACAATATACTTCACTCCATGTGAGCTAATTTCTTAGCAATTAATCCTACAAAAACCACATGTTTTTTACAAGATTTCATGAAGTAATCACTGAATACAGCACATATCGAACAGATGCCATTTCATAAACCCTTCACTTTGAACACTTCAAATTAGCAGCTAGTACACAATTAGAAAAAAAAAAGTGATGTAATTTGAAAAAGGGAAACAAGCCACCATGTCCTGCCCATTTCTGCTGTGAAATGGAGAACAGGCTAAGCTATCTGGGGTACAGAAAAAGCCAGAAAATCACCTCTCTTGAATTTCCACTCCAAACCCATATTAAAATGGATGATAATTTTTAGCAACCTAACTGTAATGCCATCAGATTAAATATGAGACATAAAAGCTCCTTAATTACATTGCTCAACGTGGCTGCTGTTTCATGGTTGTCTGCAGCACATTCCAGGTCAGGAATCACAGCCGCAGAGAAAAAAACTTGCAGTACCTATATGGCATTTGAAAAATGCCAAACTTTTTCTGTGTGTGTGTGTGTGAAAGACAGAAAGATATAAAGGCTCTTTGAAGGACAAGAGAAAATGGCCTCAGTGACACTGATCAGAAAGAATTCACCTCTTTTCAACATAGCATGTAACAGGTTTTGAAGACAGACACTCTTCACACATGAAAATAAGACTGAGAAAAAAATACAACTCATTACAAAACACTTATTGCTTGTCACCAGGAAGAGAGGTCAGTTTTGTCTAAACAAAGAATTTGTGATCAGTGGATTAAGCCTAAACCCTTTTTTTTTTTTTTAATTATTTTTTGGTATTTGAAGCTACCGTGTTTTAACCATACACCCTCAACTTTCCACAGTATCTTGAGCCAAGAACGTGCAGAGACTAACTGGCAAAGCCAACAGGAGCCCCTACATCACCCCTAAGTTAATAGTTAATACTAAGCTAATTTATTATACACATATAATATGTGATAATGTGTGATAATAATATAAAAGTGAACAAAATACCTAACTAAACAAGAAAGCACACACCAAAAACTTTTAATAAGGTGTACACCCTGGTGCCTTCCCATGATATTCAGAACTATGTGGTGCAAAACCAAGGAACTATTTTCTACTGAGCACGACATGCAGGGGAAGATAAAAAAAAAAACAAAACTGGCTGGCAAGAAAGTGCATCACCACAGACTTACCTCTTCAATTAGAGTATTGATTTCAGGTGCTGCCTTATTTGCACGCTTTTTTAACTGTTTTTTTGCCTTGTTTACATCTTTCTCAACTCTCTTCCAGTCAACTTGTACATATCCACTATGACTAGCGATCTAGGAAAATAAACTGTAGTTAGTACTGTTCTAATTAACATTTTCTGAATCAGAATATGCTAGCTTTGTGCTTACAAAATTTGCTTGCATTGTTTAAATATTGTTTTCTGCTTTTTTTTTTTTTAATTATAGATAAAGGAAAAGACATTCCTCAAATTACAACAGGCACTCCAAACACTAACATCTTCTTGCCGTAAGAGCAACTGAAAATGAGCAAGTAATTGCAAAGTTCAACAGATTGTTAATTTTACCAATTTTCTATTGTTTGCTTATAAAAACCTCCGTTTTTTTTTCCTTCAGCACTCCATGAAACTTTAATTGCAAGAATAGGAAAGTAAAGTAAATTTATAGGACAAAAATTATTTTAAAAGCAAGTTCCATTTTAGCTTCTCTCAAAATTGTGGAATTCTAACTTGTGACAGCATATTTGTGGCTAGTAAGAATCACACTTAGAAATAATGAGAACTATTATCTTACATCACTTAAACTGTCCAACAAATAAGTATTTGAAAATAAAATTCTACAAAACAGAGACTGTAAGCAGAAAAAATGAAACACAAACACTGCAAATGCTGTGTCATGAGTTAGCTGTGAGGTTCCATAGTGCATTCTATCGTCATCCCAAACTTTCTCTTATTCAGATTTAGTCCTGAAAAAGGGAAAACGTTCTGCGACTCAGCTGTCAGTCCTCTCAAGTTTTCTCAAAACAATTCAGAAAATACATATTTAAATGCTTGTAACAGCATAGCCTAAAAACCAGGCAATTATTGCATATTCAAGGTATAGTTAAAATAATTTAAAAAAAACCCTCATCAGCTGGAAAAAGAAGAAAATCAAAACTAAGGATTACTCTCAGAGCATTCTCGTGGAGGAGCAGGCCACCTGTGGCGTGGACAGATGCACTCTTTGCTGGGTAAAGAACTTGCTGGGTAAAAAGGACTTTGCTGGGTAAAGAATGGCTGGATGGCTGGGCTGAGTGGTGCTGAATGGAGCTAAATCCAGCTGGTGACCGGTCATGAGTGGTGTTCCCTGGGGGCCAGCACTGGGGCCTGTCCTGTTCAGTACCTCTACTGATTACTTGGACAAGGGGATTGAGTGCACACTCAGTAGTTTGCAGATGGCACCAAGCTGAGAGGAAGCGTCAACCTGCCTGGGGGAAGGAAGGCCCTACAGAGGGATCTGACTGAATTGCAGGGCTGAAGCCAATGGGATGAGGTTCAACAAGACCCAGTGCCACATCCTGCGCTTTGGCCACAACAACAGGCAGTGCTACAGGCTTGGGGCAGAGTGGCTGGAAGACTGTTTGAAAGAAATGGACCTGGGATTATTGGCTGACAGCTAAACACGAGCCAGCAGTGTGCCCAGAAAGGCCAGCAGCATCCTGGCTTGTACCAGAAATAGTGCTGCCAAAAGGAGCAGGGAAGCGATCATCCGTCTGTACACAGGTCAGGTGAGGCCGTACCTTGAGTGCTGTGCTCAGTTTTGAACCCCACAGCACAAGAAAGACATTGAGGCCCTTGAGTCCAGAGAAGGGCAATAAAGCTGTGAGGGATCTGGAGCACAAGTCTGATAGGGAGCAGCTGAAGGAACTGGGATTGTTCAGTTGAGAGGAGGCTCAGGGGAGACCTTATTGCTCTCTACAACCACCTGAACACAGATTGTGATGAGATGGGGGCTGGCTCTTCTCCCATGTAAAACAGTGATAAGAGGGAATAGCCTCAAGTTGTGCCAGGGGAAAGAGACAGAAAGAGCAGAAAGAGCAGTGAGGCAATGCACAGGCTGTCCAGGGAGGTGTGGATTCCCCACCTCTGGAGGTGTCCACGAAATGTTTAGATGTTGTACTGAGGCACATGGTTTAATGGCAAAATACTGGTGGCAGGTGGACAGATGGACTGAATGATATTGGAGGTCTTTTTCAACCCTGATGATTCTATGATTCCACGATTTTAACTGCTAAGACCAATAAGCATAGACCACTACCTTTAAAGATAAATGACTTACACAGAAACCAGTTCACAGAGAGCGAGATTTCTCAGACACTTTCCAAGGCCATGTTTATCAAATTCATGTAATTTATGTAAAAATATTCTATCCAAATGGTACAATTCACATATAATGAAATTATGTAGGACAGGTATTTAAGTATACAATATATTAAGCTTGGGATATCTTAGAATATAAAAAATCCATTAGCCTTGCCTGTCTAATGGAAAACCAATTTATGCATACAGGTGCTGGTGTTGTGTTGCTAATTAAGGACTACCTATTTAGCATGAAGACACAAAAGAGGTTTTAAACCGCACTGTGTTGCACATTCAGTGACTGGAAGACAAACTAAGGAAAAAAACCAAATAACAACAACAACAAAATGCTGAGGTGGAGGCTAGTTTTTTTGTTTTTTTTTTTTTAAATGAATTCAAAATTACCATAAGAATTTGAAGGAGGCCTGATTGTTGAAATGGCTCTTCTAACTCATAAATTAAAAAAACCAAGCATGGACTTATATAAAGTTCAACACCATGCAAGAAATGCAAGCAAATACATTAGAAGCAGAATATAAACACAAGGCCTTAAAGGAAACAACCTATCATCAGGTCTAGTCTAATTAGCTCAGCTATCCAGAGTACAGACATGAGGCAGAAGTTTTTAATTAGCTCACTTTAGCTAATAATTAGAGCTAACATTTTTGTCAGAACTCCAGTTTACACAACAATAGTCATATTATATATATATTTATTTCTCCCTGAATTCAGAAGCAGAGATCTGAAGTTCAGCTTTTGAATCTTTGTATGTATCTATGTGGCCAATAGCTCTATGCCTTGGTGGAGGCTGGTAACAAACGGCGTCCCCCCCCCCGGGGTTCATCTTGGGATTGGTACTCTTTAACATCTTCATCTATGACATACGTCATAGCACTGAATGCACCCTCAGTAAAGTCTGCTGATGACACCAAGCTGAGTGGCACGGTAGGCAGAGAAGAAGGAAGAGGTGCCGCTCTGACAACCTTGATAAACTTGAAATGTGGACCCACGTGAACCTAACGGGGTTCAACAAAACAAAGTACAAGGTCTTGCACTTGGGTTGAGGTAATCCCAGTTATGCACACAGACTGGGAGAAGAACCGCTTGAGAGTAGCCCTGTGGAGAAGGACTTAGGGATCCCTGCTGATGAAAAACTTTAAATGAGCAAGTCTGTGCTCACAGTCTGTAAAACCAATGGTATCCTGGGTTCCATCGTAAGAGGAGTGGCCAGCAGGGTGAGGGAAGTGGTTGCCCCTCTACTCTGCATTTGTGAGGCCCCATCTAGAGTACTGTGTCTAGGTCTGGGGCTCCCAAAACAGGAAAGTTGTGGAGCTGTTGCAGTGGGTGCAGAGGAGGGCCACTAAGATGATCCAAAGGCTGGAGCACCTCTCCCATTAAGACAGGCTGAAGGAACTGAACTTGTTAAGCTTGAAGAGAAGGCTGCAGGGAAATCATGGCCTTCCAACTAAAGGGAATTTATAAACATGAGGGAAATCAACTTTTTAAACTGGCAGACAATAATAGGGCAAGGGGAGATGCTTTTAAACTAAAAGAAGGGAGATTTAGATTAGATGTCAAGGGGAAGTTCTTTACTGAGAGAGTGGTGAGGTGCTGGCACAGGCTGGCCAGACAGAGCATGGATGCCCCATCCCTGGATGTGTTTAAAGCCAAGGTGGGTGGAGCCCTGGACAACAATCTAGTGCTTGACCTAGCAGCTGTCAACCTTGCCCATGGCAAGGGGGTTGGATCTTGATGATCCTTGAGGTCTCTTCTAACCCAAGCTCTTCCACGATTCTATGAAATAAGTAATAGAAGATAATGCTTTAAATATAAAATGTATAAATATGTGTTTTGAATACAAAATGTATAGATGGGAGGAAAAAGCTCCGTACTTCATTGCAGTGATAGTCAGAGCCTGCGTCACGTCTACTTTGGCTGCAGTCCTACTAATCCCTAAATTTGTATATAAATCCCTGTATTTGTATATAATAATTTGTATATAACCACAGAAACAACCTCAATAAAGCCAAATGTTGGTGAAACTGACTTTTATTTTTAAATCCTAATTCATCATAGAAGAAAATACTACCTTACAGGCAAGGTTCCTACAATATGCATATAAATACAAATTCTTACAGTTCACTACTATTTTCAAAGCCAGTCCCTAAGATAATGGAGATAAAGTATTAATGTTCTATTATCAGCATCTTCACACATACATACCTATGTGACTAAGAACGTATGTACATGCATATGTAACTCATACTAATAGACTATTTTTTTAAAAGATCTTCCAGAAACTACTGGGAAAAAAAAAAAAAAGTATTTCCTAAAAAGATGATTAAAAATACATCAGTGCAAGATTATTAAAACTACCCGTATCTCCAATTGAAGGGAGCAGAGAATCTAAAGGGAAGATCTCATTTTGGGGGTGATACTGGATAGGTATGCAAGTAATCTGTTACCATGAACCATCATTAAGAGTAATGAGAAAATAATGCGATGGGACAGCAGGATGGGAAGATTTGATTTCCTCAAAAGCACAATTTCCCTCATACTAACGAAGCCTAGCCAAGCCCAGAAGCTCCCTGCAAGCTGCATGTTCTCAGCCTCTTGCTGTATTTATACAGGCAAGCAACCCTCACTGCTCTTGACAAGTTTCCAGAATAGACCTGATGAACCTCTAGCTTTGATATACAAAGATAAGGAGGGACTGAGAAATGATATTCCAGATGCTGCATTTTCAGCCACCATCCAACTGGCACAACAAACGCAAAACTGAATGCAGCTCTGTTATCAAGTCTCCGATCCAAAAGCACACTGCCCTCTCCTCGCTTCACTGCAGCCCCACAGCATCATCAGAGCGTGGCATCAACTTCTCTCTGCACAAAGTATAGCCAAGGGTTGCTTATGGTTTGTTTTGTTGTGTTATTATTCTGTTTCTTATTTTTCCTAAGTTAAAAAATTATTTAACAAATATTTGAAGTCAATTTATCATACTAATGGAATGACACAAAATATATCACTGAAAACACAGACAAATACATCATTTTATGATTAAGTCAGTCAACGCAAAATGGAAGAGGTGGCAGTTAATGTGTTGAGTGCAGAGCAAAAAGCATTACTAAGGATGCAGGAATTTAAAAACATAGATCAGGCACTTGTTAAGAATTATAGTTTTAAGTAATTTACTAGAGCAGAACGACACGGAGTTCATACTTCTCTGCTCTGTAGGATCTCACTGAACTGTACACTGTATAACCAAAAGTTGGAGAAGGCAAATCCCTTAGGTTAGTATTTGAGTTGAGAAATTATGTTTTCCTTAGTACAGTGCACAGACATGGATTCATAACCAGCATACATGAAGAATCACATCTCTTAAAAAATAAATAGTTAAATGATAAAATTAAGCTGTTAAAAGAATCAGCAAAAAGATGTGATAACAGGTCTTAATTACAAAAACAAAGGCAAATTCCTTAATCTCATTTTTATTCTCCACAAACTAATTTTAAATCTTAATTAAGACTGAAAAAAACGTATGGATCACATACAAAAAACTGAGAAACCTTTTTGCTTCTCATATAAACTGACATTTCAAAGTGCATTGCTTTCAGTTTCATACTAGATTTGTTCAGATAACATCACATGCTGGAGAAAAGACAACCACACTTTTTAAATTTCAGGACTGAAACGTTTTAGTGAATGGGCTTTACCCAAGAATGTTGCCTTCTGTAGTTCTTGTTTGAGCTGGTAATTACAATGTCAATATTGCAATCAGGAGCTTAACTGAAATCTGCAGCTTCAGAAAAGTGCAGAGATAAAAAGGAAGTTTCTAGTCACGTGCTGAAGTGTTCCTCTGCCCAGTCAGGGGAAGTGCTGAACATATATTCAAAACGAAATTAACAGCACAATGTGTGATCTTTAGATGAAAAAATTAAAGACTACAGAAATGTAATTATACCATGGAATTTATGACTCAGCTTTCAAAATGCAAAATGCTTTTAAATGAAAAAGCAAGGCATTTATTTTGAATCCTTCCAAGAAAATCTGATCTTCCTTAATTAAAGATATAGACTAGAATCAAAATATGCAGCTTATTTTTTCCTCTTGGCTAATATTCCTTTTCAGATACACCGTAAATGAGATCAACTACGAAATCAGACACTCAAACAAATGGCAAACCAATTTAGTGTACAGACAGCTCCCTAAGCTTCGCAGTTCAACAAGCAAAACACTGCATAAGTAATAAGTTTCAAGCAATTTCTATTCTTTTCTATCTACAGGTTTTAACTTCCCAGCTTCCTGTAGCAAGAAGCACTAACACAGGGACCTGCAGGCAATGTTCTGCCTACTGCTCCTGGATTCCAGGCTTCTCTGTTCAGCAGACTCTACAGTCATATTTAGATAAATACTGACATTTAATGAGTTAAGACCAACAGCACGCTGTATGGGAAGAGAGATTCTGATATTTAACTCGGTGGAAAAGAACGATGAGTGCTTTCCAGATCCACTGACTATATATAAATTATATAAAATTTAAATATTCTCTCATGACACAGAACTACACACTGTGGGCCAAACAACTGAGGGGTTTTCAGATTGGTTCATTTGCTGCCATTGCATGTTTTGCCAATAGATGTACACCTGTGTGCTCCTAAACCCCTTCTGATTCAATACACTTGTTAAATTCATTCCCTGTGTTTAGGTACAAGCCCAATAACCAAGGCTTTCCAGGATACTTAAACAGGTCATTCATGCACCATGATGAAAGAGAACAAATAATACCATGAAGCTTCATATCAGAAGTGTTTCTCTTTGACTCCTTACATTGTTGTTGATGCTTGCTTTGAATAATTCAAAGTCAAGTAAATTGAAGATAACTGAAAGTAACTGAGTAATTGAAAACTACGTATGTTCTGTACTTACTGAAAACAAGCTAAACCAAACAGTTTGAAAAGCATACATTCTCATATGGAATGGGATGCAGTGTTTATGTTTAACAAGGAAAAAAAAAAAGAAGAAAAAAAAAAACGATGGTCATGAAAGAAGGAACTCATGCAACCATGACATCTTGTTGCATTACACAGTAGGAATGACAAGTCCTACACAAACTGTCCTGATCAACAGCTGGATCTAACAGCCATTGCCACCAAGGCAGCAAATAAAAGTGGGATGGCTTTTTCAGTAACATTCCAGGGCTGTGTTGGCAAGAATAAAAAGAAACTATTTTTAATGCTCTGTCTAAAAAATAAAAAATATAAAAATAGTGTATTATTTGAATGAACCCAAGCAGGCACCAGTCTATTTCCTCATTTAAAGAAAAAAGACAAGCCCACAAAGATGTGAAAAATGCTAGTAAAGTTAAAAGTTACTACTAGGCATCTCACAGAAGGACATGTGAAATTCTCCTTCACTTAAAGCCTTTTCATTTATTTGAAGGTTTTTGGGCAATATATATTAGGGCAATCCTCCCCTAATACAGTATCTGATGAAAAATGTAAATGGTTACACTTTGATGACACCGTAAGATTTTTAGACTTGAAATTTAGTTGAACAGAGGAATGCAATGAAGCTATCAGACTTTCAGAGGTTTAGTGAAAAAGCCAGTGAAGAAATCTTAGGGAGAAAAAGGAAAAGCACGGCTTTATAACTGGACCAGAGTACATCTTCCAAGTGACTGCCAATGCAGCCCACTTTTCTCAAAGCACTGATAGAATTTAAAGATCTATTTTAAATAAATACAGCTTACATACCCTATCTCTCTAAGCATAGGTTTAAAGGGAATTCCTCTAATCTGAAAATGTTGAATCACATACAGCATCAATTTCTCTACAAAGGTTTCTTCTGGCTTAACACAAATTATGGTACAGGATAGAATAAATTCTGGTTTAGCACTTTTTTTTTCTTTGTTTCTTTTGCACACAGTTTTCCATCTGAAATCAAGCTGTGGATTGGTAACACGAAAAAGATGAAGTAGATAAGAAGCCTTCCTAATTAAATTTTACCCAGCAGCTGAGTTTTTTTCCTACTGATTAAGTAAATAATGTTTGCCAACTTATAAAGCATGAAATTCTACATACTTGAAGCAGAAGAAAGCCACCACCTACTGCAGTTGCTGCAAGCTTTCCGACTTTCTGGAACAAAAATCCCGCACACCTTAGGAGAACAAAACAAAAAGCCAGTCCAGTGAAGTTGTCTGCTGAACAATGCTGCCGTCCAAAATTCCTGACGGCGACAATTACCATTACGTTTTTCGTTTAACAAAGCAAGTGTATCATTTCACATTTATAAAACTTCAGATCAGAATATTTAATACAAGCAATGTTTAATGACTAATGCCCAAGGCAAAACAACATGAGCAATGGTTGCTAGTTTATGGCAGCCCAGTGGCCCCTTTGAGCTAAGCTTGAGATCTCCAGGCTTCGTGTATACATAAAAGCTGCATGCTGCTATTGAATACAACGCTTTAATAAAGCACAATATAGTAATATAAATGTGCCATTATAACTATTCCCAAATGTTAGGTTAATATGTTTTACTATCGTTTATTCAGCTACACAATCTATAGCTTACATCCCAGCTAAAAAGAAGTTACAAACCTACAACAAGAGCTAAAAGCTGGTGGAAAAACAGGAGAATGAGACAGGGAAGGGTGCTCTCTTGAGAGATGGCATTTTTAATGGTCTATTTTTAATGGATCAAGGCAACTAGCAATTCAGAAAATCATTCTAAATGTGCCCCCATCAAATGGGGACCAGCAGAGATACCAGTATAAGAGAACAGTTTTGGGAGAAAGGTGCCTATGGAGGTTATCCCCTCTAGTTCCCAAACTGGGCCAACTGCAAAGCCAAAGCGAAACTCAAGCTCCAAGCAGAATGTGGTCGCTTGGGGTCCCACATCCTCCTCCATGAGGTGTAGGATATTTCCAAGGCTGACAGTCCCATGATCTCAGCAGGCACATCCTCTGGGGTATGTTCTGCTCCTCCTAATCTCACACACTGCATTATTATTATTATATATATATATATTTTAACTCTGTATACAACTATTTGCATACAGAACACACACATACGTATATACACATACACAGATACTGAAATACAGTTTCCACGTCTTTCAATTAGCCATTTTTATGGATGCCAGACCCCATTAACTAGAAATTTCCTAGAAATTTCCGAGTTTGTGTATATACATCTGCAGAAGTTATTTTAGAGGTAAATCAAACACTAGATTGAAAGCTCAGCCTACATTCCCTACGCAGTACTAAACATATACATAATCATTTCATTTTTAACCTATTTCACTTTCCAAAGCTCGCTTTCTGTGCAACCATAACGTTGCGTGCTACTGAACACTACTGCAGAAAACAAATACTAGTCAAGTACCTTTCACAAATAACAAATACCTTGACTTAAAGACTGTGGCCCCATTCTGCAATTTCTATTCTCATATACACTATCTGCCTATCACCATAAATTATTTTAGCATAGCTATGTTGTAGTAGCTGCTCTCATGTTAAGAGAAGAGACACCATTAAGCTGTTCAAAATGGTTCCAGTTAAATTTAGGGCAACAAAGACATCGCTTTAAAATGAGGTCCACAAAGATATATTCTGACACACATTCCTGTCTTCATTTCTGTCACCGGTAAAATACACCTTAGCCATAGTATCACAACTAAGCCTCTAAATCTACACTAGTAAGTAAATCTGCTTTTCCACAGAAGTAAAAATTACATGCAGTAGATTTCCATTTACTCCTAAAAACTTCTAGAGTTCTGCCATTTCTTCAAATCCTTTTCGCAATAGCTGGTATGAGTTCCCTTAAGTAACTGGTGTGTTTTACTACAGAATGACCTTAGAATGAGGAGAGAGTGATAAAGGGAAGTCTGTTAGACAAAATACATGTATATGCTTCAAACAGCCTTGGAAGTAGCTCTTCAAAATACAGTTAAGAGGCCCAGTGCAGTTATGAAAGTAACGTTCCCTCACCAGCCAGTCACTCCACCCATCACAATCTGCGTAGCTACAGAGTATTTTTCTACAATTGGTCCTGAATTCCGGCCAAACAAACGATTCCACCAATGGTGACGCCTTGCATATTCTGTTAGATCCAACACTTCATAGGAATCGTCATCGCTTTCGTGTTCTAAAAAAGAATGAAGAAGAAAGGAAATAAGTTATTTCCTTAATTACACAGTGCACTAACGTTCTATCAAAAAAACCAAACCAAACCAACCCACCAACAAAGAAGCAAACATTAACAGAACCATATATGGCATTTAAAGCTAATAGAATAGTTTTAAATGCCATATAAGGTCCAGAGGCTAACAGAGCAAATTACTTTCAGATTTTTATGTCATTAAGCTTCAATACAAGACGACAGTAAAGGTATAATCCATAAAATCCATGCCTGGCACAGAAGAACAGGAATCCCTCTGTTCAAGTGGAGGAACAAAGGCATCACATGAAGCTAGCAGGCAGCTGGTTGAACTCAAAAAAAAAAAAAACAAAACCAGGAAGTCCTCCCTGCTCCTCCTCCAGGTCTGGCTGACCTGCAGAACACCTTGCTGCAGGATGCTGCAGGTACCAAAAGCTGACTGTGGACTCCAAGTAACAACAGAATAAATTAAAGGTTTAAAAAAAAAAAAAAAGTCATCAAGGGCTATCAGACAAAGGCAACAACCAAAGCTGATGAGGTCCTGAGTAGAAGATCAAAAGAAACACTTTGAGAAACCATCTCAACAAGCCTACCCTGTTATTCTTTCTTACTTCATTTTGGAGCTAATGGCTTTCATGTGTACGGCTTTTATCTGACACAGTACAATTGCAGTGATAATCTTATGCCATTTGCAACACATCTAACTTAAGAGAAAGCACAGGCTTTTCTTTTCCATAGTCCAAAGTTCTGAAAGACTGAGAATTCCCAGCCTTGTGGGAATTCACAGCAGCTTGACTAATTAGCCAAGAACAGGCACTTGAGTTCCTGTTCTGTAACAGATGAAATAAATGAAGCTAGGAATTCAATTAAGTTCTGCAATTTCTGTATAATTCTGTCAACGTTTCCAAAATAGGCCTCCTATAACTTCAAATTAAACATCGTAAACACCACTTCCATTCAAACATCAAAGGGAATAGATGGTCTACTTTCATAAAGGAGCGTTTTAAAAACGTATCATAGTTCTCTATGGATATATACAGGAATTAAAATCTGGTTCAGTTATGAATACCTAAGGTGAAACTCAGCTCGGCAACAATGCTGAGACATCAGTAAGAGAAGCCACATTACTACCTGGAATCTTAATAACTGGGGATGTAAGCATTCTGTCAGGATGCTGGCAGTCTATTTTTAACGCTACTAATTGTGACTGAAGTGCTAAAAACGCAGGCAATACACACGCAGGTATGAATTCTTTCCCTCCCTGCTCCCAATTACTGAAACACAAATAATTGGAGCCATAATGTTAAAAGTTGCTACGGAAGGTTCTTCCCAGCTTTCAAGTGCTGATGGTTCACGAGCAGGTAAGACGATATTAATAACGCAGGAGCAGCATTAAGCCACAGCTCACACGAATAACGCGTTCTATGGCCAACAGCGCTGCCTGATGATGCCCCGCTGCTACACGACCTTCTCTGTACGTGACATTAAGCTCGCCCTTCGCAGCCATACAACTGTTAGCAGTTTAAACCCACGCGCCTCAGCACCGGCGCACGAACACAGCAGGTGACGGGGATGCTGAGGACGCCGCTCCCGTTCCCACAGCGCGCCGAGACAATCCCGTGCGGACCCCACGGCCGCGCATCGAGGAATTCCCCCCGACATCCCGCTTTCGGGCCGCCCTTCGCCCCGCCCACAGGGCCGGCGATAACCCGGGGACGGGAGGAACGTGTGCGGGCCGAAGCACCAGCGATCCTCGCCGGCTCCCGGCACAGAGGGGCAAAGGCCGCTCGCGGCCCCCAGCGCAAGGCCGGCTGCCGGGCCTCCGCCCCTCCCCCGCGAGTGGCCGGGTCCCCGGGAGCGGACTGACCTGGGGCGCTGCGCGGCCTCCGCGCCGCCATGTTGGCTGCTGTTGACGGCGGAGCTGGGCCCGAAGCCGCGCCGCTCCACCCCCCGCGGCCGCTCTGCGCTGCTGGCGGCCGTCCCCTCTGCGGCCGCGCGGTGGTAGCGCGCATGCGCCCGCCGTCCTTGCTACCCGAGCGGGCAGAGGGGCGTGAGATGACGTCACAGGCAGCGAGGGTGTCCGCGGCCCGAGGGATTGTGGGGGATGTAGTTCTGCCAGGAGGGCGGCCATTTGGGCCTAGGGGTCTCTCGGCGTGCGGTTCTCAGCTGCCCGTACCCTTCCTCTCCTCTCCAGTCAGGAGTTAAAGTGAGGGGGCCTAGTACAGGAGCCTTCCGATGGCACATTGCAGCTGGAGGCCTGCGTCCCTTGGCAGGTCCCTTTGGCATTGTGTGGTCAAAATGGTTCCAGCCCCCGTAGCAGTCCCTCTTTGTACCAGGTCCGCTGCTTGGGCAAGGCCTCTGTGGTGGTCTTTTCAACCTTAATGATTTTATGATTCTATGGTAAGTAGTCATAGAATCATAGAATCACAAGGTTGGAAACGACCTACTATGTCATCTAGTCCAACCGCCCTCCCATCGCCATTGCTACCACAAGCACTACACCATGTCTCGTAGCTCCTCATCCCGACGCCTCTTGAACACTGCCAGGAACAGTGACTGCACCACCTCCCTGGGCAGAAAGAAATCTCAGAAGAGTTCTCATTGTGAAGCAGTGGCAATAGTCTTTGCAGCTGGCACAAGAAGCAGCTCTGGCTTTCTGTACGCAACACAGACTCCCCAAAATCTTATTGTCATAGGTATTAGGCATCCCATAAAAATTAACAACTGCAAAAAGAACACAAAATGCCATCTCCTTAAATAAGATTAAAGTAAATGTGGGCTGAGAAAGAAGTGAAATTGAGAATCATTTGAACCTCAGTTTACTCCTTCCATCAGTGCAAAGTTGGGTGCTAATGATGTTTGCTGAGTGAGAAGCCACACAATGTTATTTTACTGCTTTTTATTATTTTTTTATTCTGTGCAGTTCTGTACAGTCTTTATACTAATAATATAGAAGTAGATGGCCTAGTAAGTATGGTTTCAGGAACTCTGTGGTAATATAAACATCTAGAAAATAAAGGAGTTCAAGTGTTATAAATAATAACATTGGAAACTTCCTATTTAAAGATGCTTATAGGCTCTGATTTGGGTTCTTGTGCTTCCAATACACATTTTCTTCAAAACTGTATAACTGCCAATTATAATTAAAAAACCCTACATTTTCCCTTGTTGTAAAGTTTGTTTTTTTTTTTTAATGGAGACAAATCTCTTAACATGTGAACGAAACACTTGAGATTCTAATTAACTTCTTGATTATACCAGCCTTAACAGACACAAAAAGAATAGGAAAACAAATTTTACATGAAGGTACTTCTTAAACCGTCACTGGGACTGAAGATAGCATATAAAATAGTGGCTTGCATGTTAACTGATTTTTATTACAAATGTTTGCCATTGTGATGACCAGGTAATGGTGTGCCAGAGAGAGCTGGGGATTATACAATTTTCCTGGAATTCGTAAGAGCGAATACACAGAAGCAAAAAAGGAACTGTCACTTTTCCCTGAATTAAAAAGTTTCTGATGCAGCTGCTCAGTACTCAGAACAAAGCCCCACTGAATATTATTTGGTAGATGGTGGAAACAAACATTCCACTTAAGATTTTCAATAAATCTATGTCTGTGTAGAACACAAACATGTTTGACAATTTGTTTTGACAGACAACTAACGTCTTTGTACTGTTCAGGTTTAAGCACACACTTTTTTTTGTTGTTGATGATGTTATTTGTTTGAATTCCTGATCAATAATGAAAAGCTTTTTGGCTTTTATTCCTAAATGAATTAAAATCTTTTTTTTCTTTTTTTTTTTTTTCTAACATTAGCAGGCTGTTGAAAGAAGAGTTTGGAGTATGTTGTGCTGTTGTGCAGTTCTTATAATTAGCAATGAAAAGCTGCATGCTAACAAAAGTAAAAAAACGCTGCCTTTTTTCTCCTTTCATGAAGCCAAGACTGGACATGGCAGAAATGTTTCCTTTACCTAGATATTTTGAGTCTTCCTCGCTCTTGTTCTGAGTTCATCCCTGAGTCTATGCATTCATGATGCTGATTCCCATTGCAGATGATCTGAACGAGAACAGAGAAGGCACTTGGACTAACTCAGACTTATTGGCTGTTTTCACTTTCACAAGTGTTGATGCAGTTGCAAACCCTACAGCAGTTTGTATGTCTGGCTTTCAGGGAGATCCCATAAGATTTTTACAAGTATTTACTCTTCTACCTCAGTGCGCCCTATGTAGCTCCTGCAACCTTCTGTTTCCCTTGTTCATTACGTAAACAGGGCAGTAGAAGAAATTTTCAGTATGGTTGTCATAGCCAGCTTTAAACCTTTTGTGTCTCATCCCATGCTTTGACATTTCTTGTCCAGTGCTTGACAGACAATCTTAAGCCTGTGCAAGAATTACAAAGAATGTCAGATGCCTTTCTGGCAAAGGAGGAAAGCAGAAGATTAATCTGGGATTGCATGAGCATGCTGGCTTTTTTTCTAATTTCTGTTGTTCAAATTCTTAATATTTGTTTTCACACTTTTTAAATAAACATGCAGGAACAGTCCTCAAATAACTTTCCTTATGTTTGTACGATTTTGCTATTTTCCCATCAGAGTTGAGAGAGTTATATGATCAATACTTTTTTAAAGATTAGTATTAGCAACTGCATTATATTCCGCATGCAACTTTTGTTTGCATGAGCTTGGAGACTGAAACTAGTCTAGAAGCACTGTCCGCTTGTTGAGTTTGTCTTATTAAACACATCAGTGTACCTTGACAAACCGCTGAATTTGGTGTGAAGCTTAGGTGTCATCTTGTTATGTATCTGTTATCTGTGTCTTCATCTCATGCTGCCTGCCCTGGGAGGTGGTGGAGTCGCTGCACCCAGAACTGTTCAGAAAATGAGGAGATGTGGCACTGAGGGACATGGTTAGTGGATGTGGTGCTGGTGGGTTGATTATTGGGCTAGATCTTCCAGGTTGTTTCCAGAATTAATGTTTCTATGATTTTAAGTTAGCTGCCCAACTACAACATCAAACCTAATGCCACCATCACGAGGTCCCTCTGACCATGATGCTCACCCTGCTTCTTCGTAACAACAGCCACCTCTGCATGCTTCTCTTGGCCATGCCCCTTACTACTGTACTTTAGGATACCTACACATCATACCAGGTGCATTCATGCTGCCTGTTTCACAAGCCTTTGCAGCACTTTTTGCATGACCTTCCTTGCATTTGTTTTGTATCCCACTTGCATGTACCACACAAGCACACCAGGCAGCTTCACATCCTTTTGCCTATTCTTGCTGTGTCATGGCCAGGTAACGAGACGAAAGGAAGGATTTGGGAAAGCAGCCAAAATAAGACTTTTCAGCAGGTTGGGTATTCTGGTACCTCTTTTCTGGGGACAGGATGCACCCAATTCCCATCACAGGAAATTGACAGCTGTGGTGGGAAGGTGTCAACTGTGGAAGGTGCAAGAGGCCTCCTGCAGCAATGAGCAGGGTGCTTGGTTCTGCCAAGTCCTCAGACAGTGAGACGATGTAGGGTGGCTGCTGAGCCTGCCATATGGCGGCACAGAGTCTGCTGGCACTGCCTGTGGGATCAGCTTGATGCCAGTATGGACAATGCCATCAGGGTTACTCTTGCCTCCTGCAAACGTCACAATCTGTGCAAAGACAGGCAAATCTCATGGTTCCAGCAATTCAGTGTGCTTTGGAGGGCTTCTGGCCAGCACCCATGTGATGTTTCTGTAATCATCTTAGACCTTCCTGAGATCACATATTATTCATGCTCAGAAGCTGTATAATCCCCTTTCCCCCTAAAATCCAGTCAAATTAAATGCTCATAGGTGCATTCTTCAAGCTAACTGCAGGGAACAATTTTTCAAAGAAAGTTAAGCAGTTTAAACTCTGGCCACATTTTGAGTTCACCTTTAAAGGCTCTTCAGAAGCAAAGCGTTTCCTCAGAGCATAAGGAGGATCAAAAGAAAAAAAAAATCCTTCATTGCTCTATACTTCCTGGCTGCAAGTTCAACCTGTGTATTCATCGTTTGACCAAGCACCTGTAACAGGTAACTTCATTGTCACAGCTTGTGAGAGAACATACATGAGATACTGAGCTTGCAAATAATAAAAAAACCCACAACACAACAACCAACTCAAGAAGTAAAAGACAGTGGAGAGCCCCTAACCTTCAGACACTTCAGTGGCTCCAGGCACTGGAGGAGGGGATGATGACTCTTCTGCAACCAGGTGGTTTTTGGAGCAGAAGTAAATGCTTCCATCAGGAGTTATCCCAGCTCTTGATGACTTGGCAGAGCAGTGCCATAATCCAATCTGTGATGCTCTAGGAAGATGTTAAAATGGCAATCCTCTTCTCTGTAGGTATTACAGTAAGAAATACCTATCCTTCTGTCTAGTGCCGTCTCATGTGAGACTTATGATGTTTTTTCGTGTGGTGAGTGTCTTCAACCTTCCTTTGTCAGTTTTCTTAACTTTGAAAAATGTTATTTACTTATGATTCTTTTTTTTCGGTATTAGGATCATCATATAAATTCTACATTTCCATTTTGTATTCTCTAATTCTATAACATTTTCTTTCATTTTAATTTGTTATCTTAATGAAATTAGGGTTCCCACCACAAACCATGTTGAAGGGAATGAGAAAAGGGTGGAGAGGTGATGGCTGTCGTGCAGATTAAGTAGTAGTAGCTTAAATTGTCTCTTGGTGAAGGATAAACAGAAACGTATGAAAAGATAAAACCGCATAAAGAATGTGCAGTGAGAAGTTTTTAAACAGGTAAAAACCAAAGGCATCTCCAAAGCAACGTGTGCTGGGTGCACAGCACCTGCGATTTAGTTGTTAAACAAAGCCAGTGCTAAGTGGCAAGTAGGTCTGCAGCAAGATACATTCCCATAACCCTAACCCAGAAAAGGAAGGAAGAAAAAATAGAAAGTTAAGGGAGAAGATTGATCTTTCCACTTTTGTTTTACTTACAACACTTTAACAAGGCAAGCTGATTATCCATTAAGCTTTTGATCTCATCTCTGCTATCAGGCTTACACTCTTAACGCAGAGACCATGACTTCATTGCTACTGTGTAAATCCCATCCAAGTATTTGGACTATTTATCTGATATGCATGTGGCTAGAGGGGAGCTAGGTTATGCAGTGGAGCATGCATCTGGTGAAACTACACTCATTACTGCCTTAGGGTATCTCTGGCAGGTAGCTAATACTGAAGTGGTGGGAGCAAGCTGCAGAAGTAGATGTCTGCTATGACTCAAGAGGGGTTAATCTTACACAGTCAAAATGCTTCACAAAGATTGGAGTCCTGAGCTAATTTGAGGCTTCCTTTGATAATGAGCCTAATAAAGGGCGGGAAGGGGAATTGAGCCATCTCCAGTAAGTCTTAAAAGACACTGGAGTGTTGTCTTTTGCCTGACATGGGTCTCAATGAGCTGCAGCTGTTGCCATACTCCTGTTAAAAATTTTGTTGTTTATAAAAAAAACCATCCCATATAAGAGTGTTTTTTTTAAAAGGTTATGCAAAATGTGTGTTCTTGGTCGGTGGTTTTCTTATAAGTGAAAAATAAAAGGCTTTTAACTTTCTGGAGGTAACCTCTGGTTGGTTGCACTCCATATTATAAAACTCATAAAAAATGATGCTGATTGTAGCATGGCATTACTTTGCAGAAATTATTTGAGCAGCTCTCAGCCCTGATCATGAATGCAGTGATACATGTTATTTTGAAGTTTTTCTTCAGAGACAAATACCTGATACTCTTGGTAGGTATTGAGGAGCTGCCTACCACCACCATCACTCAAGTAACTATGACCAATGAATGGGGAGAGCAAGAACATGGGCTGAGGACCTTCCTGGCCATCTGCCTCACAAAGAAAATGTAAGGAGTTTCTTTGTTAGAGCAGCTAAAACGATGAATCAATCACACATACCACTTACACCATTAACAGATGTTCCCATTAAGTTTCTGTAGCTTAAGTGCATATAAACAGTTCAAAAAAAACCAAAAAACAAAAAACCTCTTTTGAGTAGCTTTTTATACAGCTAACAGTAATAGAATAATAAGTGGGAAGGGCAGATGTAGAAACAATACACAATGAAAAAGTTGAGGACCCTCCAGAAATGCCATCTGAGTGGCAAAGAGCCCAAACAATGTCAGGCTCTTATGGTAATGAAATCCTGTACCAAGAAAAGGCTAAAAATCCTAAATTGAAGGGAAATGTGGTAACGATGTTTTTTATTTTCTTGCAAGAAATGAAAAACAGTACAGAACTATAGCAAGTAAACACTAGACAATATACAGAGAGAAAAGATAATTAATGTGAGTCATTTCTGAAGGCAAGGAAGTCTCCGATCTGATACTGCTCTCCAAGGCCCAGCTGTTACTGAAATGCCCAGCTGCCCTCCGCTCATCTCAAGCTTCTGAAGAGTCCTCCTAAAACTTCTGGGGTTCCTCTTTTTGGCTGAAGTAACACTAACTGAATTTCCTCCTGATAACTGAAAAAATGTGTGTGGCCAGCATAGTCAAATGTGGGACTTTTGGAGCACAGGACCAGCTGCAGCCAAAGGAATAACTTGCTTTAGCAGCTCTACAATTCCCCTTGCTTTTCAAGGCTAATTTTCTTGCAATCTAGGCCCTTGGCAAGTGGGGAGAGAGACTGACAAATGAGAGGTGCATTCCTTGTGGCACTCATGAAGAGCTATGGCACTTTATTACCAGGACTCTTCTTAACTTCACAACGACAACAACAAGTAAAACTTCACTAATTTCTTTATAAGATTATTTCTCAAGAAATTCCCCACAGGATCAACTGCCATTTAGTTACCTTTCAAAGCTCAGCAATAATGAAGTAGACTATATGAGAACATTGTTTCCAGGAGCACTGTTAATTTTTCTCATTTTTCGATACTCAGACGTTGATATGTGATGAAATGGTAACACAGATGGGCAAAAATTGAAAGCAGCTATTGCTGCTGATAAAGCTGTTCAAAGGCAGATAATGTTCCTCTTTTTCCTCTGATTTTCATTATTATTATTTTATTTTATATATATATTTTTATGGACGTATTCCCTGCACCACAACTCATCAGCTCTGATCAACTTCAGGACTCACGGTGCTCTCAAGGGCTTGACAGTAGTTTCTGCAGAACATGAAGATGAGAGCTATGAGACCAAGCACCAGTGTGAAGCGCATTCAGCAAAATGGCAAGACAGGCAGTGTTGCCTGCTGAAGAAAATTGGGATGTAATTCTGAACTAAATATTGGTAGCAGCAGAAATGTTGATCTTGATTGAATCTGCAAATGGCTTGGCTAAGGATTGGAGGAGGAAACCTACTTCCTCTTCCTGCCATTAACTCAAGACACTCTGGCTCTATCTACAGAAGTTTTATCACCACATGTTTCCCAGTGCTGCTACTATCTAGGCAGTCCTACAGACTGCTGCAACAGTCAGGATGCGGTAGCAGGAGCTCCTGTTCAGCCCTCATTCTTTACAGCTGTACTTTAGTCTTGTCTGCCAAAAGGGTAAACTTGTACCTGGGGTGCACCATGCCCAGCACTGCCACTGGGCATCCCCTCTGCTCTGTGCCATCACCTCCAGTACTGGGTGCGTGTTTGGGTGCCAAAATTTAAGGATATAAAACTATTAGAGAGTGTCCAAGGGAGGGCTACAAAGATGGGGAAGGGTGTAGAGGATAGGATGTATGAGAGAGGCTGAGAACCCTCGCTGTGCTCAGCGCAGGGCAGAGGAGCTGAGGGGAGGCCTGATGGCGGCTGCAGCTCCTCACAGGGAGCGGAGGGGCAGCGCTGAGCTCTGCTCTGTGTGACAGCGACAGGGCCCGAGGGAACGGCATGGAGCTGCGTCAGGGGAGGGCAGCTGGGGGTCAGGGAAAGGGGCTGCACCACAGGGTCTCAGCATGGAACGGGATGCACAGGGCTGTGGGCACGGCCACCAGTGCTGGAGTTCAGAGAGCATCTGGGCAGTGCTCTCAAATATGGAGCTTGATTTTGGGTGGTCCTGTGTGGAACCAGGAGGTGGCCTCAATGATCCCTGTGGGTCTCTTCCAACTTGGGCTGCTCAGTGATTCTGCTCTGAGGGAATGACAAGTGTGAGAGATCTGCTTTGCCCCCTTTCCCAAATGGAATCAAAATGAGTGCATAGAGTTTTCTCATCCATTCTTTTATTCACAAGACATAGATTCACTTGGAAGAGAGCAAGCAAAAACAACAGAACTACATGCAGGCAAAAACACTCCTTAGAGGAATTTGCTCTCGCTCATTTTTTTAATTGTTTCCCAGTAAAGGCTCCCTCTGGGTCTCTGTCAGACTACAAACTCCATTTTGAACGTGGATCTTATTTGCTCTTTTTTCCTCTGCTCTGACATCATGCTGATGCTGTCGCAGGGAGCTGCATGGGAGCTGTGCTGGCCACTGCTGGTAGTCCAATTTGTTCCCTGTGCTCAGCCTCAAGAAGATGCACATGAGCTTCAAGAATGCAGATTCCTGCTGCTGCTCTTGGATGTGAAGCAGTGCATGTAGTGAAGGCTCTGGTTTGGCTGGGACTTGCCCACAAGTCTCTGGGGGGTGCTAAGTCCCCTTGGAGCAAAGGTACTCCAGCTGGTCACTGGTGCAAACACACCTTCTCTCTTTCTTGCTTACTGATGATGCATCACCAAAGTTAAAAAGCAAACTAGCAAGCTAGGCATCCTCAGCTTGACATTTCTGCAAAACAGTTTTGCAGCTTGATATCTATAAACTTTGCCTTACAAAGTTCAGTGGTATTTTTGGTTTTGGTTATTTGTATGATGCATATTTTATCTGTATTCAATATCCCATAGACAAATTCTGAATTCAGTTTAGTTCACTTCTTTTTTTTTTTTTTCCCTTGATTGATCAGGATCTCTTAAGTAATCTGTAGAAATTTTTTGTTCTGTTTGTTCCTGTCTTCTTCCTAAATGTGTGTGATGAGTGGGTGATTTGTTTGTGCTGTCATTACGAAAACCATATGTTAATGTGGTCTTACGGAGGAGTGTTTTTATTATTTTAAGAGTTCAACTAAGGATGTTTCCAAAGGAGACATAATTGCTCTTCTAAGTACAAAGGCTTAACAATGACTGGCTTACAAATAATGCCAAAAATCTGTTCAGCTCAGTCTATAAAATCTGTTTCTCAGAAATGTCTTCTTTCCATAGTCTGAACTGCTTAACACACTAAGAAATTATGACTATTCAGGTTCTCTATGGATCTTTACTGCAACTGCCTGGGACTAGAGAAAGTATCTGCTTTCTCATGTATGTATCAATATATGCAAAAACCTTAGGGTTGCCTCTCTGTGCAAAAGGCACAGTGTCAAAGCATAGCTTTAGACTGATCCTGCAAGGATGTTGGTGAGCTTCCTGGAGGAACAGCCTTCGAAGAGTGCCACTACCAACCCAGTGTGCTGCATTAACCAGGTCAGTGCTGTGTTCTGTGCAGGATATTTGTGGCATTCATCAGGAAAGGAACCGACAGCATTTGAAGCAGACTGGGGTCTTTACTGTAGACCACATGGCTCCTCCTCTTCATTATGGACACAAAGTTCAATCTACCAGCCCACTGACACGTGCTTGACAACACTGAGTGAAGAGCATTGGGCTTCTAGTGTTTCTTCTGCGTTGTGATGAGCTGAAATCCCATGCAGAATAGCATTGGAGTACTCTGGGAGCTCCAGTTCTCCTTTCTGTGGCAGTGGTGAAACCTGGAGGGAGCCAGGGGGACTGGCTGCTGTGCTGTTGCTGGCTGGTCAGTATTCATGAAGACACCTTTCTCAAGAGGCTGTTTGGTGATGCAGGTGAGCATGAGACAGATGCTGTTAACTCTTGACACAGATTTATGAGATTTATGAACAATTTATGAGAGATCCATTGACGTTTGGGAATGTAATGTAAAGAAAGTATCATGACTGTAATGGTGGTAGAACTGGTCCCTGTGTTTGGCTGATCTCAGAGACTGAATGTTAGGTAGGCAGAAGAATCACTGAAAGTGCCTTGGTGTTCAATAAAGCTGCTGAAAAGGGAAGTATGTGGTAGAGTCTGCAATGCATTATATATATAAAATTTTAGATAGGAACTATTATTCTGTGCTGCAGAGTTGAAGAAAATGGAAAGAGGAAAATAGCTGTGCACCTGGCCAAGACCTTGAAAAGGACAGACTTTTCAGAACAATTTTCAGAAAAACAATTCCAAACCTCCCTGTAGCAAAGCCTCCTACACAGCCTTTGCAAAGAACCTTTCAGAGAAAAACTTCAAAGAAGTGCAATAACATGGCAACATTCTGTGAGAGCAGTATTGCAAATAAATGCTACACAGTTCTAAGTGCAAGTCCGCCAAAATAAGTTGAAACTTTCTTGTGCATTGCAATGAGAAATGAAGTGAGAAAAAAAGAAATATTAATTCTTCATTGAGAAACATGCCTTACAAGTGTCATACTAGCACATTTTAAAAGCACATGTATATCTATAATTTGTATTTGCAGAAGCAGTGCGTGTATTACATAAAAAGTTATTAGCTCATAAATATTACCTCAAAAAATACAAACAAATTTCTATCTTTTGCAGGTGAGTGCATACGCAGATAGTACAAATTCTGTATCATTAGATTATTGGTGAAACAAACAGCTTATTTTTCGTCATTATCCAGAAAGATTATAGAGGAGGTCAGTCAGATGGGAAAAGCCCCAGCTGATTATTTGGGTTCAGGTCTTCTTTTGCCTCAGGATTCGTATATCATCTTAGAGTCTGAGAGTCTCTGCGCTCCATCTGCAACACATCTCAGAAAGAGTTGGTGAGATCTGTAGATCTGTATCCAGCTGATTCCCCAGTTTGTGTTGGTGCACAATCAGCAGCACACCGAGAGTATTAGAGTTAAAAACTACCCTGCCCCAAAAAGACGTGTTTGCTGGAAGATGCACTAAGAGGAAACATGCAGGTATTCATGTGCATAGGTTACTAGTGTTGCCTGGCAGCTGCAGCTGCGTGATTACAGTTGGATCCCAGTCTTGCTGCCATCCAGAGGAATTTTGACATGGGCCACAGAGATCAGATCTATTTGTCTTACTGCTTTTCATGCAAGCTCCCTGGTATTTCCCAGTCAAAATTTTCTTCCTGCAAGTGAGGAGTGTTTCTTCTCTTTTTCTTTCACAGGGCCAATTTTATGCCCCTTCATTGCTTGACTTGGTATGCTGCACTTACCTGGTCAACTTCAGCTGCCCACAGTGACTGTAATGTTGTCCATCTTTGTTAATCATCCCTGTTAGCTGTGGCACAGCAAAAACAGACAAACAAACAAAAAGCAAAGTTAAACTTGTTATAGGATATTTTCTTCTGAATATTCTCAATGTTTTCTTCTTGGGTTGAACTAGCAATAGCAGCCAGTTAAAGACATGGCTCATGGCTGAATGCTGTGCCATGTACCTGAAAGCACAGGATCACTCCTGTAAAAAAAGGAATGGTGTTTGCTGTAGACTACATTTCTAGCATGATCAGTGGGAAAGGAGGCATTGTATGTAGACTGCTCCAAAAGTAATACCTCCTGTTTATTTCCATGGAAACAAAGATAATAACACCATTTGATAGAGCAAAACTCAGATACAAAACACTGTTTGTCAACACAGTCACCACCATAGCTGTGCATTTCTGCCAGTGATGAATGAGAGCTGCATGCTGTGCTTGTAACAGTCTGCACTGGTGTCCCACTGTTGCTGTCAACATAGCTGAAAGGTACAACCCAGCACCTCAGCGTGCTCACATCCACTGCCTGGTCTCCAGAAATATTCAGTAAATATCCTTGGATGTCAGTGGGTGCCATTCCACGTGGAGGAATTCAGTGACACACCTTTGCTTCATACACACTTCCATGACAGTCACCACTGTGTCAGAGTGCCCCTCTTCTGCCATCTGTCACACAGCACCAAAATGGAACAGCGTATTAATAGGAAGGTTCAACGTCTACAGCCATAGCACCAACATCTGCCTCTGGCATTGTGGGCCAACATACAAAATAGGAGGCATTACTTTCAGAGCAGTCCTCATAACAATCTTAGCATAAAGCTCTCCTGTGTCTGCTACGTGACGCTACGTGCCATTGTTGATGGAAACCAGCATGATGGACTGGATGCTGGCCTCCCCAAAGCTGAATTGCAGCTAAACCCTAGGGAAATTCTCTGGTTTAGCTCCCAGACAGAAACCCACCCACTAGTTTTCTTTGGAAAGAACAAGAATTCAAATATTGGTTTGGCATGAAAATTGTTCTGACTACCCTAAAGGCAAAGGGAAGGTGATTCTGCAAAGCCACAAGAAGAAAGTATTTTAATTCAGAGATCATTTCCCTGATTTAAAATGTTATTTTTTATCTAACATTTTCCTTATTCTAAAACCACATTGAGTTTCAGTTATACTTCCTTTGAAACCAGAAAGCAATTGTACTGAAATGCAATAAAGGGAACTAAAAATACACTCCAATATTTTTTTCCCTTTTGTGCCTTTCTCTGCTTCCCCAAATGACTGAGGAGTAAAACCGGATGCAATAATTTGGGGGGAGAAGCAAATGGTAGAAGTCAATGTTAAAGAATCAGTGTGTTTGACAGAGCATGGGCATTTCTGAAGAACTTTTTAGCCAGGGCTGCATGCAGATGTGTTGTGGTTCTGATGAGATAGTTGGTGGGGGATTCTGTATGTCACTGAGCTAACCAAACAAGGAACACATAAAGCCCTCTAAATGTGCTTAGTCTATGCATATGCCTTTCACACAGCAGAATGAAAAACCCTGAAATGCACAGGATAAAAAAGGGGAAAGAAAATATACGCCTATGGTCAGCGCTACAGAGACTTTGTTGGTGCTCATTTGGCTAAGGCATGACTGGAAACTGCTTTGAAAGATGAAATAATTATGGCTTCACAGTCCATTTGTCAAGAAGGATAACTCTGAGATAATCCGTATCTGAGATGTTGCCTTCATGTTACTGGCAATAAGATAATATCCATCTGGCCCTACAGGGTTTGTTTCAAGGGAGAGAAAAACAAGTTTCTCTTTAGCTCAGGAACAGCAGAAATGCTTTAATATACCCAGAAGTATGCATACAAGACTTTCAAGATGTGCTAAGATTCTGATACTAAACATACTGACAGCTTGCAATGTCCCGTTCATATGTGGAAAGGAGGCAGGAAGTGCCACCAAAACATCACGCTAGTGTTGGCTCAGCCTTTGCAAAGTTTTGTGTGGCTGCAGACTGTGCAGAACAAAGATATGAACTTGCTATTAGCAGGACCCATTCATTGCCCTGTAATGGATTTGTATTAGTTTATAATGAAATGTGAGGAATTAATCACAGCTCAATTACATTTATAAGTGCAGTGCTGTATTTTAAGAAGCATGCACACGTTTGCCTGTTTTTAATTACTCAGTGACTGTGAAGTTAGGGTCCTGTAGTTGGAGAATCCAGCTTTCTCCGTCCATCAGCAAGGCAGCTGCCTCGCTGCACAAAGGCAGCTGAGACAATGAATGAAAGAGTTGGATGATCTTTATGGGTCCATTCCAACTTGGGATATTCTGTGATTCTATGAAATAGAACATAGTCATGCTTCTCAGCTAGCAAGCAGAATATTGGCAAAACCAAGCAGCCCTCCTTCTTTTTTGCTCCCAGATCTCTCTTCTCTCTCTTTCTTAACCACCGTGGTCCTCCTTTCACACATTTTGCAGTGAGATTGGTGATGCTGGGCTTCATCCTTACCAGCTAGGGAGTGCTGCTTTGAGTTCAGACACTTCTCTGTTTTCTCAGCTGTGCTTCAGATGACTCAGATTTATCTCAGAGTTCTCTTATTTTTTTCTTTTTATCTAGATCTGTAGTACTGGATATCCCAGTTTGCTTTTGGCCTCGCCTACCAAGAATGTCAAATAAGGATAAAATTAAACTGTAGGTAGTCAAAACATAATGATGTTTCTATGGTAAAATATGATTCGTATTAAAATCAACTCATTCATTAGCGCTCACATTATGAACTTATTAAATGCTCTTAGTTAACATAAATCTTTTAGGAGTTCCTAGCTTAATGTCTAGTGCTGCAAACAGCTGCTTTCTGTTTACAAAAAAAATGAGGTATGAATTTTTATTTCTTTCCAACACAGCCCATAAAAAATAGTCTTTTGGCACTGTAGATACGCACCACCAATGCATTCTGCTCAGAGTAACTGTGTTTGCTGAAGGGCAGCCTTGCACAAACACTGTTTTAACCTATAGTATCATGCTTTTTCAATTCTGCATATTAATTCATGCTGACTTCAAAAGAAGTTGAATAGCATTTTAAAAATCTCTTCCAGTTCTTACTCTTACTGATATTTCTGAGCAGTGCTGAGGCCCGTATGTAATGCTGGACTATGATGAAAGTTGCTCAAGTAAAAACAATATTGAAATAAGGAATGAAAGCATGCCACTGAATTTCAGGGAGAAGCGAAGGGTCATCATTTCACACAGGGGATTACATGAGCGTAGGTAGGACACAGCAGTGGTTTCTGAGCAGAGGTCTGCTCAGAAGCCACTGCTAGATTTAGTCACAGTTTGAACAGATTGTAGATTGTCTGTCAGCCATGTCAGCTTGTTTGTGTCTGTCTGTCTGTGCAGAAATGTCACGGTGTGAATATCTGATCTCAGAAGCTACTGCCAGGGGCCTGAGGCAGCCTGTAGGTCCCCTGCTCCTCCTTTGGCCATCTCCAGAGCATTCAGGGTATGGCACCTCATCCACACACAGGCACATAACTGAGGTCACAGAATCACCAAGGCCGGAAAGGATCTCTAAGACAATCTAGTCCAACTGTCAGCCCTCCTCCACCAAGCCCACTGCCCACGTCCCTCGTTGCCACATCCCCTATACTCAGCACTGGTGAGGCCGCACCTCGAGTACTGTGTCTAGTTTTGGGCCCCTTACTGCAAGAAAGATATTGAGGCCCTGGAACGTGTTCAAAGGAGGGCAACAAAGCTGGTGAGGGGTCTGGAACACAGGCCATATGAGGAGAGGCTGAAGGAGCTGGGAATGTTCAGCCTGGAGAAGAGGAGGCTCAGGGGAGACCTCATTGCTCTCTGTAACTTCCTGAAGGGAGTTGTAGTCAGCTGGGGGTCGGCCTCTTCTCTCGTGTCATTAGTGATAGGACCAGGGGGAATGGCTTCAAGCTACGGCAGGGGAGATTCAGGCTGGACATGAGGAAGTATTGCTTTTCAGAAAGGGTGGTCAGGCACTGGAATGGACTGCCCAGGGAGGTGGTGGAGTCACCGACCCTGGGGATGTTCAAGGAAAGGCTGGATGTTGTGTTGAGGGACATGGTTTAGTAGGAGCTATTGGGAACAGGTGAATGGTTGGACTGGATGATCTTTTAGGTCTTTTCCAACCTTGGTGATTCTATGATTCTATGATTCACATGGCTCTTGAACACCTCCAGGGACGGTGACTCCACCACCTCCCTGAGCAGCCTGTGCCACTGCTTCACCAGTCTTTCTGAGAAGAAATAGTTCCTTGAGTATGGTCCATTTCTCAAACACAAATTATTGCAGCTGTTCAGATTTCTCATAGCCTTCCTCTCCTTTACCCACAGGTCCCAGACCCGCTTTTTGAGGGGCTAATATGATCGTCGAGCTAGCTGCGCTCCTTTCAGTTCCTTGCAACCTCCTCCCTTCGGGTTCAGCACTGCTCACACTGGTAGCCCAGGCTCCATTGGCATGCAGCCATGCCTCCCTTTCTGTTACTGGTTCCAAACATACATAGCAATGCAGAAGGGCTCTCAAAACTCATATTGGTGATCCTTACAGGAGGCTATTTTCCGTATGCCCTGCAAACAGCTCCCGTCCGAGGACTGCCAGTGCAGGTGTGGTGCCATGGTCTCTGAGCAGGCCCTGCAGAGAGCAGGATGGGAAATAAAACGTGAGGCCTGCAGCTGGCAGCTGCAGTGGGGCCAAAGCACCTTCTGGCCCAGCTTCAAGCTGACGCCGAGAACCAGTCGAGCATAGAGAAGGATGACAAGTTCTTTAAAAGAGTAGTAAAATTAAAAAAGCCAAATTACTTCTGCTCTGAAGGTGAAAAAAAATTCAAATAGGCAGCAAAGTGTGGCAGAAGAGCAAGAAAGGGAATGCAACAGGGAACACGATGTAATGCAGGGAGGCAAGCACATTCGGAGGATCCTGCCAGGCTCCCGCGAAAAGTGTATGCTGAAAAGCAGCCAGTCCATTACACGTGCTGGCACAAAACACGTCAAGAGAAAGGCAAAAAAAGCTGTAAACACCTGCACTGAGCTTGGAGACTTTTGCAGTTCCTTGTTCATTGTTACAAAAGACACAGTTGTTCTGCTAGATATAAGAAAACATACTGTAGAAATTACGACAAAGCACTCCCTGTTAGCTGGATATAAAGAAGGGCAAACTATGATTCATGCATTACTGCAAATGCTATTCACTGTATCATAGCTTGCACAAAGTTTTGTAGTTACATTTCTGTTATATCAAGTCAAGAGGATTTTAGAAGTGTGAATGAGGGAAGGTCTCATCTGCTGTGACAAAACAAACTACTGCAAGCAATTACAATGAAATCAGAAGTATATTTATACCACGCACAAAATGGAGCTAGTTTACCTTTTATGATGTCAGTCAAACAAAATAAGTGTAAATAGATCTATTAGGAGATGGGGTAATAATTACTGCTTACACTACAGTTAGGCTGTTTATGTGCAAAGTACAATTCTACAAGGCCTTAAGCCATGCAGTATAGCAGCTTTTGATTGATCTTGGTTCTGTAAAACACTGTGGTTTCTAAGTTACCAAACACTGTATTTTTTTTTTTTTTAATGTTAACTTCCATATATTTTTATTTAGAGAAGAAACATTCTTTCAGCACTGTAGGCATTATATCAATTCCTTTCACAGTGATCCCAGAGTAACCTCTACACTAATGGCAACTGAATTAAGAACAAGAGGGCAAAACATTTTTCGTTCACAAACTCCCAGCAGACAAATAGATCAATAATCCAGAGTTACTTGGCTCCTTCATGATTCCTCATATACAGTAACTACTGCATGCTCCATGTAAGAATAAGATGTCCTATCCTTATTCTGTACAAAGCAGCTGTTTGCTAAACCCATCTTCAATTTACTGAAAATGAAAATGTCATCTGGGAAGGCTTGTGATTTTTTTAGGACTATAAATCAGTGATTAGGTGCCTCCTTAAGCTATACAATGTCGACTCCTGATTTGGAAGAGTTAATTCACTGTGCTGCAATGATGTAAAATGGAAGAATTGCAGGAAAAGGAAGTTTTAGCTTTGATATGGAAAATGAGAAGAATGAAACAGAGACATCAAAAGGAAGCTTTTTATAGAAAACATGCTATAAAGCTGAAATTCTTCTCCATTCACCCTGCTCACTTCCAGAACTCTGGTCAGCAGAAATATGAATTGATGATGAGTTTTGTGTGCTTCTTGGTCCCTTCTTACAACAGGGTAACCTCTGCTAAGCTGTTCACGCAATCAAAGTAATGTAACATGCAATTCTTGATCCTTGACATTTGCTTTCCTTCCAGTGAATTCTCAACATCTATATTCAAACAAATGTATACTAATATCCTAAAGACTCTAAATTAATAAACAGAATGTAATTTTGACTGGGACAGTGCCTCGTTAAATGGGTAACAACTCTTTCTGCAGGCAGAGAAGCAAGCTCAGCCTCCAAAAAATTCTTTTCAGCAGATCTGGATTTCCAGATACTCAAAGTCACATAGTCACTCCCTCCATCTGAGCAAACTAAGCTGTCAGATAGATGGCAGAACTGAAAAGCAAGGCTCAAAAGACAAAATGATCTGTGACAATTTAAGAATCTTGAAAAATTTACTCTTTCCTATTTATTTCAAAATAAATAGATTCCTTTTTTTTAAAGTCCTCATTCTCGTGCAGAACAGAATACTTTGGGATTACCTTGTCAGATGAAAGTTGCTAGATTTTCCAATTATATGGTAAAATTCTGGAGCCCCTTGCATGCATGTGTATGCAGTTTCAACCTCCTGGATGCAGTAGAAGTTTCAGATGTTGAAAACCTGCTTTATTAGTTATTCTACCACATCCAACCAATACAAAATGAATCACTGATTTTTTCTGTCTTTTCCTATCTAGTTTTAGATGTACAACCCAATTACTTATACTGCCAGATTGGTATCAGAAACGAAATGTTTGCTAATACTTAGTCTGAGTTTTATATTTTTAAATTTCATCTACTTTCTTTAGTTTTATTTAATAAGTTGCACTCTAATACAAATTGCATAACAATTCTGAATATTCAAACCTGTTTTAGAAGAACAGAAAAGCATCTGTCAAATTTGGGGATTGAGATAAGCAAGAAGCACAATAAACATGATCAATATTCCCATTTTTTGGTGACAATTATCTCTGAAACTGTAAACACAAAGTCAAGATTTGGGAACCAAACCTTAGAGAATTTCACAGAATTGTAGGGGTTGGAAGGGACCTCCAGAGATCATCGAGTCCAACCCCCCTGCCAAAGCAGGTTCCCTACAGCAGGTCGCACAGGTAGGCATCCAGGCAGGTCTTGAACATCTCCAGAGAAGGAGACTCCACCACCTCCCTGGGCAGCCTGTTCCAGTGCTCCGTCACCTCACTGTAAAGAAGATCTTGCGCACATTGGTGCAGAACTTCCTATGCTGCAGTTTCCAGCCGTTTCCCCTTGTCCTGTCTCCACTCACCACTGAAAACAGTCCGGCCTCGCCATTCTGCCCCCCACACCTCAGATATTTATAGACCTGGATCAGGTCCCCTCTCAGCCTTCTTTTCTCAAGGCTGAACAGACCCAGTTCACTCAGCCTTTCCTCATAGGAGAGATGCTCCAGGCCCTTCACCATCTTTGCGGCCCTCCGCTGGACTCTTTCCAAGAGATCCCTGTCTTTTTTGTACTGGGGAGCCCAGAACTAAATAAGTCTACTGCACTCGAGACACTGTTAATTAGAATAATCAGTAAGTTTCATGTGTTTTTGTTTTTGTTTTTACATTTGTTGTTTAAATCATAATTTTTAATCTCCATGTTAATTTTCTGCTCTTTCATATACCACCTTAATATTTTTCTGAGATGGAACTGAAATCACTATTTCAACGCGATCACAAAATCTTGTGAAAAGGTAATATATGTTAAGCAGTATCTCTGCTATTCAAAACTCCATCTGTTTGTGCTGTATGCACTTGCTTGATGCTGCTCCTAGGTTTCATTCAGCATTTCTGTTACCCGGACCGTTCTGGAACAACTCTGTTCTTGACCACATTGCCTTAGCAGCACTAGGTCACACTAGGCGCAAAGTACTGTCATTTTATTATTTTCAACCCTGCATTTGCTTTATTGCTAATATGCTAGACTATTCAGTCTAACTGAATTCTATTTAGTTGCAATAAAAATCAGCTTCCTTCCTTCTTTTCTCAGCTACTTACCAACATAACAGGTAGGACAGAACCATGCCCCACATGCAGCCTGGGACATCCCCCCTCATCTGGTGCTTCAGGCAGTGCCATCATTCCTAGTGAACTTTACTTGCCGAGTGCAAAACTGAATGATGCATTTCCAAATATTTCACTGAAGTCCTGGTGATACATTATTTGCCACGTTTGCCTTACTGACTATGATCCTCTGTTCAAGAGTCATGTAACTGGACAGGTTAACTGTTGGGTTTTTTTTTCCAAGTATTTTTTCTCCTTTCGAAATAATTATAAAAGTAGCTTTGAAAGGATGCATGGTTTGGAATGCAAAACTGTATGCAAACCTATTTATCAGTGAAACAAATAAGCCTAAACTAAAAAAGAATTCTGCAGAAACACACTAGGAGAACCGTCAGAATGATAAAAAAAGCAGTAAAAACAATCTCAACTACAAAAAACTGGACATTATTATGATGAGAAAACACCCAAGAATGTGTTGATACAATAGGAAGGAAACAAGAAAGAAGTTTCAAAATTCTTTATTTAAAGATAATTTCAGGGACATCAGAATCTGGAGTCTGGCCTGCACCCTACAACGTCTGGTTTTTATCACTTAGTTGAGATAGCAGAAAGAACTTTTTTAATTAAATAGGATGTATGCATTTGGAAGCATTACCAGCTTATGTTTGGCTTGAAAGGAACAGAAAGAATTTGAAAATGAGCAAAGAAAATCCTGGATACAAAGCTCAGATATTTGCATGACTGTTTTGACTCATGGGAATATCTGGGAGATAAAGCCAATTTTTTTCCCCCTAGTGACCACACCAGGAAGCTACTTACCTTTGCACAGTTCATTACTATTTTTTTTTATTATTTATTTGGTGTTTATTGATTTCAGAAGAATGAATGAGGCACAAGAAATTAAAAGACAAACATGAACAGAAATCTGAGACAATTTACGAGACGTAGTAGTAAAAAAACCCACAAGAAATTATTTTATATACTATAAATACTTAATATACCAGCAGGCTTGACAACAAACAAAGAGATAAAAAAAAGAATCTACATCTTTGACAAAGTAATAATAAAAATGCTTGGGGGTTTTAAACTATTTTCATGCACTGCACTTTATGATGTGTTTTAGGCTTGCTGATGATCCTCATTTCTATTTGAAAGACTGTGTGCTGCAATGCTTATTTAAATAGCCATTCAACTGGATGTAAACTACTTCTATATCATCCTAGTTTTCTTCCTGTGCCCTGCTCAGCCTTTTCTGCTTTAAACATGAAATTTAGTATCTCCCAGTTGCATTTATAGCATTTATATCAGAAAAAAATTGAATGACATACCTTTATATCTTCTCCTTTTTTTACAAAATAAAGTATTTCAGCAATGCTGCATTTGGCATTTTCAGTTCTTATCATACTCATTTTAAATATCCTGTGGTTGTGTGTTGACTCACTGCTTGGAGTCTATACTAAGTCAACAGTGACTTTCCTCTCGCAATTAGCACAAGATGAATCCTGTTTTTAAATTTCCTTCATGTGGATCAGCAAGCTGACCTTGCATTCTGCACTGCCTGACTGTTAGACTAGCATGAAAGATGCAATTAGAAATATGGCAACAGATAGAAGAAAGTACGTAACTTCTTGTTTTGGCTCAGCTTCATCAAGGAACAATATTATTCTCTTCTCGGCAGCTGACTCCTGATCCCACTGAAGTTAACAGAGAATTACAGCATCACCAAGGTTGGAAAAGACTTTCAAGATCATCAGTCCAACCATCCACCTATCACCAACAGTACACATTAAACCATGTCCCTCAACACAAAATCCAAACAGAATGTGTCATTACAGTATGTCTCTCATCTCACCGCAGTTAGGATGGGGGGGAAAAAAACAACAATCCTAAACAGTTTAAAGACAAATGCAGATATTGCTTTAATGCAAAGATAGCTCACTGATAAAAATGTAACATCTTAGTATACCTATTTGGGAAAAAACAACAGCATCACTGAATTTGGAGTGTTTTGAATGTGTTCAGACATTGCAGGCAGCTGAACTGTGATATAGCAATGCAAGCACGTTTTATTGCTTTATTTTCATTGTATGGATACGAGATACTTCTGAATAACTAGTTCCTGAACATTTCATTACATTTTATCATGTCACAAATGTGCAGTCCCCAAATATTTTTCTTCACAAGTTGCCACATGGAGAAGCCAACTGTCATGTTGTTTAGATACAAACTGCTGACATGTGCTTTGTATACACAAAAAGCTAGTTTACGAAATGCAAGATTGAAACTTGTCAGGTTTTTTCAGTACATAACTGTCTGCAAATAAATCATGACTACATCCATAATATATTTCAAAAGGCTTAACTACTTTTTAAAAAATATACATGATTTTGTGAAAAAAAATGTAATTTTGAAGCTGAAATGTGCTCCCATTACTTATGATTTTAATTTGTACTGAACATTTTAACATGTTGGATGCATTAGTGACTAAAGAGGACCGATAATGTAAGTCTGATGCTGTAACATTGTGAGTGAAGCACCATGGTGAGGAGACAGAGAGAGGAAGGTGAAAGGCTACAACTCCTCAGTCTGGTAACTCAGATACCATATGCACATCTTGTCAACTCAGATGAAGTATTTTAAAATATATTAAATATGGGTTAGAGACACAATGGATAAAGTTTGTGTAACTTGTCCTCAACTGACCTCAGTGTTGCTAAGCTGGTTACCTTTAGAAATGGTAGATTTTATTTTATTTTATTTTATTTTATTTTATTTTATTTTGTTAAAGATAACACTATTGTTATTTCATATGGAATAACTATAAACTCTTTAAATAGGATATTAAAGCTTCCATGAAAAAATGCCCAAACTTGAAATGTTCACCCTGGTTTTGCTTGCCTTTACCTTTTCCTCCTCTTACTATCAGTCTTCTCTTTCCCTCATTTCTGTTTTGCCTCAGAAAAGGAAGAAATACAGAACAATATATAGGGAGGATGAAAACAATCACAGGTTTTCATTTGTTAGCTTCCCTGAACATAAGTGAAAGCAGTAAAACAAGAAAGTTCCACATCAATGGAATAATAATATAATAAATAATGGAATAATGGGTATGTTGTCTTTCCACTAAGAATAACAACAGAATAAAAGCTTGATGTAGATACAGTATAACACTCCAAGATCACATCTGACACATTTTACTTGGTAGTTTCTAACAAGTGACTCAGGACACGTGAAGCTCAGAGCAAATGTCATCATTTGAATCTAAGAATCCATCTTATCCGAAAAGGGAAAATATCTCATGCATCAGGAAAAGCAATGAAAAAAGATTCTGGCAGAAGCAGATGAATGGAGCATTACTGCTGGCATTAACCGCCAAGGGAAAGCTAAGTTCCAGTGAGACCTGGTTGACTAATGAGACAGAGGCAGAAGTAAGAACTTGAAAGCTGAGACTGCCTGTGTTACAAACACCTTTCTCTAAGTGCTGAATAATCTTTTAAAGTTTTCAGCCCTTCTGTGTGGCCTGGGCTTGCTTATTCTTGCAAAACCAAGGCTTTTATCATTGTCACTCCTAGCAGAAGCAATACTCAAGAGTAACAAATTTACTAATTTCTCATGATATAATAAGATGCACACACAGATGTATTTTATTTTCAAGAAGCCAGAATCATTACTTAATTCTTATTCATTAATCAGTATGGAACACAGATTAAGAGCAGGCATACCAGTGGACTCAGACTGATAGCACCTAACAGTAATATGCAAGTAGATAGAAATTGGACATTAGTCCTCTGAGCAGCACTTCAGAAATGATTACTAGAATCATTACACATAATGCTCATACATATCTTTAAAGAAACAGGCTACTTTTTATCACAAAGAAAAATGAAATGTCAGCGAAAGCAAAACTGGGAGATGTAAACCCAACAGCAATGAGATCTCTACATACCAGTCATTGCATTGTGCCAGGAAAACACCTCTGCCCAAAGACACTGCAGTTTTTCCAGGCACAGCAGAACTGCTTTTAAAAATTATTCCAAGGAAAGTAAACAGAAGAAAAAACACTTGGTGTGTAACCCAGGAGCCTTTACTGCATGGAGCATGTTTCTGAGTGCTACTTTCCTTTCCTGTTTGCATTATGTCCTTCAGTGTGAGGTTCCTTATGCTTTCTAAACATATTTGAACACACTGTTGTCTGCAGGTATATCCTTTTCTTTGATAATTTCTGTCAAGTATTTTTCTGTTGTTTTTTTTTTTTTTTTTCCTCAGAAGAGAAGTACCCATGTTTAAAAGCCAAACAACTTCCCCTGCAAAAATGCTAGGTAACTTCTCTAGCATCTGGAAGGACATTTCACAGCATTAAGCCTATTATTTTCCCAGTAAATGACTCTGGAAGTTATCATTTCTCTCCATGAATGACGCAACCACTACTCACAGATTATCTGACAGCCTAGATGTCAAAATATTTTTCTTCTTTGCAAGTGTATACTTGCAAATGTTAGAACTGACTGTCAGGATTTTGAGCTTGGATGTTGGAAGTTTCCTTGATTTCAGAAAGCTAACATATTTTTGTATTATATTCAGTTGCTTCATCATTGAAGATTAAATTGAAATAAAGCCAACCTTCCCCACTCCCAAAAACAACAAAACCCAGGAAGAATCCATTGCAGACATCATCTGCATTTTTCTAGACCCAAATCCTTTTCACTGAAAAGTAAGGCTTCCTATGGATAACAGCTACAAACAGTGGACTGTAGATGTTAAGTAGCAATGAAGCATCTGCTCTGGAAAGGTTATACAATGCCTCCCTCCGCTTAGAAAAATGGCAGGATATGCTTTACATCAAGCATGACAAATGGTGATGAAGATGAAGCCCTGAAAAACATACTTGTACAGCACACACACTTCCCCCCAAGAGCATGACAAATTTGAGTTAGAAATCCCATGGCTGAGAGGAGAATTGAGCCACACAGTGCCTTACCGTTAGAGGGCTGTGGAAAAGGGCTGATACAGGAGAAAAAAACAAGTGCTGTGTGCATGAGAATAGGTTTGGCCCAAAAGATTTTCTTTTGAATACTAGCCTCTGTAAAAATAAACAATCATACCTTTAAGCATCAGTCAGGCTAGCTCTCTCTTTTCCTCCCACTCTTATATGTAAGGGAAATACTTTTCCAAGCAGTCGGAGAACTATCTATCGACACTTTACGTACAGAAAGAGTAGCTGTTGTTCTGTGTAGTAATAGTGCCCTACACTATCGAGCTGCTATCATGGGCAAAATCATATGAAAGGAAAAGATGACACTGACACTGAGACTTTTAGAAACCCCTCGCATTGTGCCAGCCCCTTCTCTCCCTACATTAACCACTACAGATAGTTTCTATCTTTTCCTCAGAAACCTGAGGACATGCCACACCAGCGGTACCCAAACTTGCTGCTATAGCAAAGCCCATGGCTCAACTCTGTGACATAAATTAATTTCTGTAAACATCTGCAAAGCAATTTGCACAAGTGCAACGGGTTTGATTGGCTCAAACTTTTAAACATCTGTTGTGTAGCAAGATGAGGAAAATGAGGAAAGCCAACCATCAGAGCAGACTACTACTGCAAGAACTATTCATTCAGCCTATTATTACTCCCTGACTGCACCTCAAAAAAACAAGGTGGCTGGGAGTAGGCCAAATGAATTGTTCTGGTAGGCTTCAATCTTCTCCCGAGGAGAGAGCAATAGATTTTCCTGAAAAGAAGTCAAGAAAAAATGTAACAGGAAGCCTCTAATGATCTGCTCAGAAGATAAGACAAAACACTGCTGGGTATCTCTTTGCAACTAAATATCTTTTGTAATTGTTGGACTCTGTCCTAATTAGCTTTGATGTATCAGAGAGTTACTTTGTGAGCTGTTTGCTTAAAACATGTTGTTCTGTTCTACTTCCTTTCAGATGTTCTATGGATAAAATCATTAGGCTTACCTTTTGTTCCTTCTGTATACTGTTTCTACATTAGCAGAACGCATGCTCACCCTCTGAATTTGATTCAGTCTCTGAATTAACTGTCTAACTTTACAGATGAGATTTATCTCATTCTATTTTAGTGCTCGTACATCCACTGACTGCCCAAAAGTTGTGTCTGGTTCATCAAAGTACGGATGTATTTGAATCTGCATCTCTTTCCTATTAACACCATGCAAGTCTCAAGAATTTTCTGTGAACTATGAACATATTCTAATATTCCACATTCCATACCTTCTCTTAGGAGTCCAAAATATTGATTTAATTTTCACCTTGAATCTCTTTGTTCTTTGTGATTAATATCAAGATCTGAAATACTAAATCTAATACCACTCAGGGCAAGAAGTTACTTACAGCATCCTACTATCTAGAGTAAGCAAAACTTCGGTGAAATTAGAGGATGAGGTCATACCCCACACTGAAGACAGAAGTGAAAAGCAGTTGCACTGTTTGGGACAACAGAAACAAAACCTATGATACATGCCATAGCTCACCTGGCAAGCCAGATGATGAACACAGAGGAGTTTTGCCAGGGCCCAGAGCCTCACGACATTACCCACCATAAGGAGTTGGTTATTCTTTACTGTAGGTATGAATATCTTTGAGTTGGAGAAGATGAGACAATGTTGAAGACTGCCAAAAAGCAAGAGGTTGTTTTCTAGAAAATACTTGGAAAACTTTGAATAGAAACTGCTCCAATTTCTTTCTGTATTCCCAACTTACTCAGCTCCTTCTGCAAATAAATATGCCTCTGTATTCCTGATAAAGAAACACGTTTATGAAGAAACAGCAAGTTCAATAAGTTTTACTTCCTAAAGAAACCTATCTGCAAGAGGCTATAACCTTACATCAAAAGAAGGAACAGTGTTCTGGAAAAATAAGCAGAAATTCCCATAAAGCAGAACTTATTTTTTCCCCCATGTAAGAGGTTAACCAATTTCCACACATGGCAACAAATATGCCTGTATGCTTTTATTTCCTCAATATATGCATGGTTTCATTAAATTTTACTGACTAAATCATATGTATTTCTCATCAGTATAAATTTGGCCAATCTGCAAATCCTTAAATACTCTCCCTGCTGCAATTTTACTAGTTACACTGATGTCATTAGCTGGTATTAAGTCTTCCATTTGAAATACCCATAGGCATGATTCTAATTTTGCATACAACAATTAAGCTTCTAATGCAAACAATTACATGTTCGTGGTGAAAAACTTTCTGAATGTTAATATATAGCAGAAATCATAGCTCATTTGTTAAGCCCTCAAAGCAGGTAGACAATAGGTAAGAGTTTAATTTCTTTTATCCCTTATGACATTTATTGTATATTTAACATTAAACACTTTCCAGAATTGGCACTTTCACTATGATTCATACATTTTCAAATAGGCATAATGGAAACATTTCAACGCTGGACTTAAAATGAAGTTCAGTACAATTAAATAATCTCAGTATTTTTGAACTGAAGAATTAATATGTGTTAAGAGACACTTATTTCCTAAAACTTTCTGCAAATAATGACACGATTTGTAAAACACTACACGAGGGGAAAAAAAAGTACATGAAGAGTAACCAAATGGGGAAAAAAATAGAGAACTGATAGGAGATTGCTTTAGAATTGAAGAACGGTGTGGGTTATTTTCCTGTATAATCTACTAATTGTATCAGTTGGTAGATACTGTTTCCTTTCAAGCCGTGCCAACCATGCAGAATCATAGTTCTTTTTTTTCTTCATTAGGAAAGAGATGAGCACCCAGGTAACACTGCATTCAAAAGTGTTATCTTGAACAAAGAGCTGCTCCTGCTTGTGTGTGGGTTTTGATTCACAGCAGCAGCTGCTATATCAGTACAGGAACAGTACCAAAAGACAGCTTATGATAAAGAGCAATAGAAATTTGTCCAACTCTCCTGGCTTAGAAACGCAATCTGACTAACTGGCAACCAAACTAACAATTATTTAGAGGCAATGAAGATTTAGCAGTAGATCAATTCAGTGGCTCAAGCTTTTAGAGATTCTGTTTTTAAAAACAATTTTTTTTTTTTTTTAATTCCTTTAATAGCAGTCTTTGATCTCATAATATTGACTCATCTTAATGTATTGTGCATCAGTCAACCAACTCCTGAGGCACTGTTATGAACGTGCTGGACCTCCTTACAAAAGGATCTCAGGATTCTTTGCAGCAGCAGCCAGTGATGACACAGGTTTTACTAACACCAGAAGTTTTAAATAAATTCAGTATGCTACAATACAGTCACTGTATTGTCTATTGCAGCATTTGATTTTGTTTTAAAATGACAGTCCTACATAGTTCCAACAACACGTGATATTATGGGTGAATATCACAAAGCTATCTGAAAGTGGCATTCATCTATATTTGGAAGTTTTGATTTTCATTTATTTATTCTGTGACTTTGCCTCAGTTTCCAGCATGGTATCATAAGCAGAGCAGAAGAAAATGCAACCTAGGAGGTCTTCCATAATATGGGCTGAGCTAACAGAATCTGAGAACAGCACTGAATCTACAAAGAAAACTGTTTCTAACTCGATTTCCTACTAAAGAAGTTATGATAAGCATTGAAACTTTGCAAGCTTATCAGAACTGACATTAAAAATGGATCTAACCAAATATTCAGTAGAAGTTCTCTTCAGCTGGTATTCTCTAACACGCAGACTTAGGACCTTAGTGAAGTGGGATTATTCATCAGAAAAAGCCCAGCAAGTTACTCTTCATTAGTTCTCAACATTGGGATGCTCACTGAAGGTTACGTCAGCATTAAAGGGACGTGTAATAAAAGCACAAGTAATCATCTGTTAGAAAAAGAATCAATGACACATTTGGAAAAAAAAAAAAAAAGTGTTTAAGTTTTATAATAAAATATTTATTCTCCTTTTTGTACAGGGAACAAATACAATACAAGAAGATTTCTTCAGGTTATCTCCCTGTCACCTACCATGAGAAAAAGAGATGTATCCATGTACATTCAAAACTGTGACAATAGTGCCAATTGCACCAATACTTTCGTGGCATATAGACAGCTATTGAGACTCTGCTCTAGTAAAGTAGTGAACATCAGTGCTTACATGTAAGTATGTGAATTCAATGGAAGCTGCAATTTTATTTTTTTTTATTTGTGGGAAGAATATTAAAGATGAACTTTCTTCTCACTGACACTAAGAAACCCCTGGCCAAATGCTGATTGGCTTGTTTGAAGTTTTACATCTACAACTTAAAATAATCTTTTGTTAACCCACCACTTGTGGAAAAAAAGTACTGATTTAACCATAAAAAGGTTTGGGGAAATACTGCTCATTCTTAGCAAATCAGCCCTTTGCTGCCCCTTTCTCCAGAATCTCTTCTTCTATTGAGACTGACAACAACTCCCTTCTTTCAGCTTTCCAGTATACATCCATGTAAAGAAACACATCACTCACAAGAACAAACAACCACATGTTCATTTTCAGACAAAAACTGCATTAGTACCATGTATATCTATACATATAAGAGCATAAAAATTCAAACAGCTAAATCACACCTTGAGAAGGTTTAAGATGGGAAATTCTCTAAACTAAACTAGCAGTTTCCTGTTCCATGGTTCTCAAATGTAAAGCAGTGGCAGGTGGGGGGAAGCAAGAGAAAATGCATGTTTAAAGGCAAAGTTAGCTTTGGATTTTACGAACATCAAGCTTACAACAGAAAAAAACTCAACTTGTTTTCCTCATGCCCTCCTGATGTTCTTAATCCTGTCCGAGGCCTGATCCAACTCTTGTTGATATGTGAAAGAAATGAGAATGCAAAATGTCAGAGAGCTCCTGAACAGAATCCATCAGCAATTTTACAAAAAATATCCAAATCCCAGTTTGGAATTTTATAATAGGATTTATAATAGGATTCATCCTCCAATCAAACACTGCAAATAAATTTGTATGCTTTGGTTATAACCCTGCATCTTATTCATTAGGTGCCATGCATCAGATTGGGCTCCACCTTGTTTTGATGAAATTCTGAAATGTGGGGAGACATTCTTACTACTTAAACTACAGCAGTAGGGGTCGCATACTCAATAGCAACACTTTCCAAATTTAAGCATCATTTCATTTGAGATACCTCTGAGTTCCTAGTTGCTCTAAGGGAATCCTGGAACTTGTTTAGACAAGGACAGAGAGCAGTCACTGCCTATGTCTAACAGGGGTAGGATGAAGCTTCCTGAGTCAGTCTTAATCCCCAGCAAGGCATGTTTACATGCCATGTCACAGACTGCCTTGTGCTGTTTACACCTTTCATAGTGTTGTTCACGTATGATTACAAAATTTATTATCTACTATTACTTGTGCAAATCAACAGATTTTAAAAGTGGTCGCACAGGCAGATGTGGTAAAAAATGACTCAGATCCCACAGCAAATCAAGTAGCTTTTCAGATTGGCTGTGGATGTTATTGGTTTAGGCACTCGTGGCAATCTTAGCAAAAAGCAGCACACGCAATAGTTGAACTTTTTAAAAAAAGTTTTTTTCAGGTACTTTCTTAAAAAGATTTGTCAATAAAGGCTAACCTAGTTAAAGAACTGAATTAAATCTCATGAAAGTATGTAACATCCTCCACTTTGGAAGAAAGAAATAAAAGCATTCAGCTAATAATGCATCTCAGATAATACTGCAGACTGTTCCAGGATTTGCAAGAGTAAAGAAGAGAGCTGTTCATCATTTGCTGATATGAACGGCTCCTTTCAAATGTTTATACATTTTACTTTAAATTTACTCCAAGGATATTTACAAAATGCTATTTATTTGTTTTTCTCTTAGAAGTCAGAAAATCGTCAGGGTACAGTATTAGCCCAGCATCTTATATTAAGTCAACAGACGACAGAGGGTGGAAGGGACCTCAACAAATAATCAAGTCCAACCCCTTGCTAAAAGCAGGCCTTCTATAGTAGGTTACACAGAAACGTGTTCAGGTGGGTTTTGATTATGTCCAGGGAAGGACACACCACAGCCTCTCCCGGCAGCCTGTCCAAGTGCTCTGTCACCCTCAAGTTCACATGGAACTTCCTGTGTTCCACATACTTAAATACCTCCTTCACAGCACTTGCCCAGTTTTACAAAGTTACAGAAAAGCTACAATAGTGAATGTGAAATGAAGACTTAACATAAATACAGCGCTTATTATCAACTACTCAGAAGCTGTATTAAATTCCCATGTGGTCACAAAGGCAGAAAGATCCCACTAAGCACTGTTTTTTGAAGAGTAGAGATACGGCCTCATGATTTCCTTCTATCATACAGGTGACTTCTTTAGAAGGCAGTATGTCACAGACAGCCACATCTGGCTCTAAGTGGAGGAGTGGACACTTACCCTACTTACCTTCTGAAGCTATTAACGTAAGTGGAAGCATGTTTGGAACATACATCAGTAGACACAGCCAAAATTTCCTGTAGCAGGGTGAGGGGGGGAGAGTTGGGGAAGTCAACTAACGAAAGGACTGTAAAGAAAACACTGTCCAGACAAATGTAGTTTTTCCATATTATTTATTTCTCCAGCTAATCACAGAAATTGACAATTACTGTAACATTAGAGAGTGTGAAAAACAAGACACAGAAGTGGCTGCTTTAACAGCTGCTACTTCTGCTGATACAATTTCAGCAAGTAGGTCCCTTCAAACCAGTGCTCAGAGTCAACCCTTCTTAGAGAATCTATAGACTACCCAGCAAAACTGACTCCAAATTGAATGAGACAGCTCAAAGTATAGTTATGTATAAAAATTCCTGGTTTTCCATGTGTAGATGGAGTTGTTGTCACGTTTATTCTTTTAAAATGAGGAACAATCTCCAGTGCTCAAGGGAAATTTTATCATTTCTGCTGACATACTGCACAGCGATGGAAACTACTGCTTAACCACATGTTTCTTGGGACTACAGATAACTACCTGAATGCCAGATGAATTCAAGCTCTGAGCCTTTCAGGCAATGCAGATGTTAAAAGCAAGCTGACCAAGGGAACGAGAGGGCAGTGTACAAAAAATGACTACATGATTCAAGCAGTAATGCAGGACATCACTAAATAAGGTCTATAACCAAAGCATTTAGTAATTATTAGTCTTTAAACACTTTCTCATAAAGAAGCAATACCTTTATGATAATAACACATTAGTAGCAGTAAACTCACTTTTACTCCCATCAGACGCTTACTAGAAGCCTATTAAAGACTTATCTACCACTCAAAAACTAAGTAAAATACTTTAAAGACTTAAAAATAAACCACAACATATCTTTGACAGTATGCTGAAGAAATTGGAATTCCTTTTAAAAAATCCAGTTTCAGTAATTACTTCTACGTATATTTATTTTTTCTTACAAATAGAAAAAGCTTTTTTTAGGCCGTGTGTGTGTGTGTGTGTGTGTGTGAATGGAGCCTTCTGGAAGAAAAGGATTTTATATCTTGGCCATCACCCGCTGTCAAAATATAACTCAGGTTATTGAACACAGCTCTCATCAGACCTAGAGGGAAGGCAGAACAGGGAACATGCAAATTGCAGATCATTTTATTATGAACTTCTGGACAATGATGGAACTACTGCTAAAATAGTGAAATAAATACAGCTCACTCTCTTTATTCCAAATCTCACAAATGTAATTTAGTAATTTAAGTCTGACAGTTTGTTCTGACTCTGTACTGGAGTAAATGAAGTAAAAAGCAGGTAAGAAAAAAAGAGGCAGAAAAAAAAAACAACTAATGAATACAGAAAGCTACACAGAGGGATTATTTTCTCCCCTGATTAACCTATTGTCAGGTTGTATTAGTTTATGCTGCTTTCCCTTACATGCCCAGTAGTCACATATTTCAGGCGGCTCGGCTAAAACCTGGGAAGCCGTCAATAATACAAGAGCTGGATTTACAACTTGTAAAACACAAAATGGTGCACAATCTTGTGCTTCTTCAACTTGGCCTTTTTTAATTTCGCTCTTTTTTTCAGTATGTCTATCTCGTTACACACACCTGACATTGCTCCTGTCTTATCACTTTTCTCAAGCAGCTGCAGGAGATGCCTTACAGCTAGAGGTCCTCTGAGCTGTTACAAGTGTCATGTTGACCACAAACCTGAATGACTACTTTTTTTTTAAAAGCAATGTTGATAGACATCATACATGCATCCCATGCAACAATATAAAGAAGGGGCTGCTACCCTCACTATTCCTAGTAGCTTATAGTTAGTAGCTGCAAATAACTTTGAAAAGCAGAAATGAAAGATCAAGTTGAACAGATACACCTAACAGCTCCCGGCACCATTGTTTTCCCAAGGACTGAAATCACATGTCTTGCTGCAGGTGACTAACATCATCTTGGGTTAAGGAAGAATGTGAGATTTCAGCTCTATCTAGTAGGGACTGAAACATTGCTACCCATCCTGGAAGTCATACTAAGTACATCAATAATAATCAGTACGCTCTGTTAATCACAGTACTTTGAAACAAGTATGCATCTGAAGTTACCAGAGAACGTATCTGATGATGAGGTCAAATAGTCAAGAGAGGAAGAAGTCCATGGAAAAACTCTCTGAGCCAGAAAACCTTCATGGACGAAATCAGGCTTTTGATACACTTCATATGAGCACCGAAGCACAGCAAAGAACCTTCTGGAGAGCAAGAGCTCTACAGACACAGAAAAGAAAACGGGATTTGTTCAGCAAATGCCCTGGTTTTGAGAAAGTGACTCAGTGGTAATTGTTTTGTCCACAAAGAACCTCAAGACCACATACAAGAAAAACAGGGCATATGGTTCCTCCGCCAGCCCAGCTTGTCTGTCATGAAGGCTGCAAGGAGGTTCAGCCTTCCAACCAAAGACAACATACTGAAGTAACTACTGTAAGAAAATAATTCGTGTTTGTATGATACTGCACAGAGAACAAAGAGAGATGAAGATAGGGCTCTATTAAGCTCAAAATGAAGTAAAAGAAAAAAGACACGTGAGAAATGTCACATTGAGTTATGAGAAAATCAAATATGGCTAGAACAAAGCAGTATGATCTACTCCCATCAGGTAACCCATTTGAGTACTGTTCTGCTTGTGAAGAAATGAAACTGCTTCAGACAGGTTCTTGGCAATACCAGGCAAAGTATTCCCAAGTAGGCCAGCAATCACATACAGGAAGAACAGAACTCAGCCAACTGGGGAAGGGCTCTCCAGCACTACAGCACTCACTGTTGGGAAGCAGCTTAGGTCCCTGAGATGCTCTTCCTTCAGTGCTGGCCCTTATATGAGCCCAGAGTGGCTCTACCCTGGATCCATCTCTTCTGGTCAGATGGGGAGCACCATGTGCACACAATGGCATGTGTTCCCCTGGCCAGCGACACCCCTTCACCAGGTGTCCAGTCATCAGTTCAAGCCTTGACCTAACAGGTCCCCAGGAAATCCTGAGTTCTGCTTTTTTAAAGAGGTGTACAAATTCAAACTCCTTAATACCTATCATTCCATTTGCCCTCCTCTCTGTATTTTCCATATTGGTAGCCCAGAATGCTTTATATTTTGAAGACCAAGCCTTTTTTGAAGAAGTAATGCTCTTGTGAGGATTCTGCTAAATTTGCCAGCCTCTATTGGATAGAACTGATACTTTGTCTCATTCCAGATCATGACACAAGAAAAAAAAAAGAAAAAAAAAAAAGGATCAAATCTCAGGATATGCAGCAAGAAGCATCATCCCTCTCCAGAAGCAGCATCATTCCTGACGTGTCCAGAGAAGGGCACTGAAACCCGTGAGAGGTCTGGAGCATAAATCTTGTGAGGAGCAGCTGAGGGAGCTGGGATTGTTTAGTCTGGAGAAGAGGAGGCTCAGGGGAAACCTCACTGCATCTACAACTTTGAAGGGAGGCTGTGATGAGGAGGGGTTTGGGCTCTTCTCCCAGGCAACAAACAGGACCCAGGGAAATGGCCACAAGTTGCACCAGAGGAGGTTTAGGTTAAAAATAAGGAAAAACTTTTTCTCTCAGAGAGTGGTCAGGCACTAGAATGGCTGCCCAGGGAGGTGGTGCAGTCGCCGTACCTGGCAGTGTTCAAGAGGCGTCTGGATGAGGAGCTACGAGACATGGTTCAGTGCTTGTGGTAGCAATGGTGATGGGAGGGTGGTTGGACTAGATGATCTTACAGGTCCTTTGCAACCTTGTGATTCTAGGATTCTGACACTAAACAGTGCTGTAGAAACAAGCCTCTGGTCAGAACCTGCCATCAACAAATTTACAAAGCATTTTGTGGTGAATATTAATGAGACCACCTTACTCTTGCTAATTACATAAACAAAAAACAACAAAAAATGGTTGGATTTCTACCATCTCTAAAAGAGACCTGCTTTAGTTGACAGCAGCAAGATAAGCTCTTGCCAGCAATGAAAAGCAATGACAGAATAAAATGAAGCTCTGAAGGAGGTCATCCTTCATTTACCCCATACTAAATGAAATTACTTTCCAGAGATTGAGTTCGTACCTACATTCTAGTGACCCAGGATATTTGAGATACGGGAACGACTTGACACCAAGTGAGATGACAGCTTGAATCCTAGCATTAATCCTAAATCTTTCCTCCATATCAATTACTGTGCACTGATTTTAAGAAGTGCCTTTCATCTCAAGAGGACATCACATGATATCATAGAATGGTTTGGCTTAGAAGGGACCTTTCAGATCATCTAGTTCCAACTCCTCCAAGCAACATGTTCCAGTGTCTCACCACCCTCATACTAAAGAGCTTCCTAATATCTACCCTCTTATAGCTTAAGGCCATTTCCCCTTGTCCTGTTGCTACATGACCTTCTATAAAGTCCTTCTCCAGCTTTCCTATAGGACTCCTTCAGGTACTGGAAGGCCTCTATAAGGTCTCCTTGAAGCCCCCTCTTCTCTAGGCTGAAGAGCCCCAGCTCAGTCTGTCTCCTTATAAGGGAGGTGCTCCAGTCCTTTACTATCTTTGTGGCCGCTCCAACAGCTCCATGTCCTTCTCGTGCTGAGGCCTGCAGAACTGGATGCCGTACCCCAGGTGGGGTCTCACAAGAGCAAAAGGGCAGAACCATTTCCCTAGACTGCAATACATATTACTTTATAAGGAGAATTCTAGAATTCATGTTTGCTGTTTCTAACATTACATTCAAGCAGTGCAGTATCTCGGATTCCAGCTGCAGAGAATGACAAGCACAACAAATACCTGCTTGGAACATGGAGCTCTCTCCAGCAAGCTGTTCAATGACTGTATGCACTAACAATGTTCAGGCTCCAAGTGGGAAGCCTAACACCATGACAAAGCAGCATTTGATACAGTATGCTAGAATACACAAAGAAACTGCTTGGAAGTGTAATGAGTTTGAAAGTGCACAAGAAAGTGGTCCCCAAGGAGTACTGCTCAGGACAAGAGTTCTGTTCACCCACAACTCTCACACAGAAGGTAACAAAGTGGTTTTAAAGACCCTCAGATGACAACACAACTCCAACCAAACTAAAAACCTAATGCATTAACACTGAACTGGTACAGTACAGTACTGCAGTTCACATCTTTGTGAAGGATCTAAGGACTTATTCCTCCAAGGTCAACTTCCAGGCCACCTCTCAGAATGGGAGGCTAACATTATGCTTGTCTGAAACAATCTCTTGGTAGTGGTATATCAATATTTTCAAGCTTTTCTTTCTGTTATTAAAGAATCAGAGCTTTAGCTGTATTTTGAAGAGATGAAATGATACACAGGCCTTTACAGCACCTTTTACATAACCCACATAGTAGTTCAAATACAAAAAAAGGAACTGGAAACTCAATTCAAGCCAGCACAGGTAGGCTGTAGGGTTGAGTGGTGTTGGTGGGAGTCTAAGAAGTAACTTGGGTTACTTCAGTTGCACTAAAAGTTAAACTGAAAAAGGAACGAGGTATCACCATGCTTCTGTTGGTAGCCTTGCACGTGGCAGCGGGTTGGAGATTCATGATCCTTGAGGTCCCTTCCAACCCTGGCCATTCTGTGAACTCTCCTGAATTGCTTTGTGATTCAGAAATTACCTCCCCTGGACTGAGAAACAGTTTAGTCTACTCTCTTTTCTACTGATTTGTACTCAAGGTACTACAAAGTGGGAACATCAGGCCTTGTGGTCAAGATCTTCAGAAATAATCGGTGCTGAAATATCCAATTTCTGATATGTCACCAATCAGTAGAGTCCTCAGCATGTTATGGAAGCGCTACTGAAATAATGTGACTGAGAAGCTGTGTAGAATACTGAAGACAGATATTTGATGATAACTTCATTAGTATTACCACTATCTGCAGACTGTAGCCCATTCCCCGTAACTTGTTTAATGAGAAGTCCAAACTTTAATAGCTTTTTTAACACAATATATTAATACTCTAATCACTGGCTAATTTACGAAGATATGAAACATATGTAAACACAGGTGCTTTTTTGTTCCAACTGCATTTGCACTAGACAGCTTATGTAGTAATCTTATAAGAATAGCACAAAGACACTGGAGTGCTTTAGACTGGTCAAGGTTTTGCCTTCAGCAGACCTCCTGTGATGCTGGAAATGCACACAAGCCCTGTGTACTGGAGACAAAATGCTTGAGGAACCATTTCAGAAACACCACTGACATACAAATGCTTGCTGTTACATCTGTGGAAGCAGGAATATTGTGGTTCAGCCTCATGGATACCTGACTTCACAGTGGCAATTAATAACAAGGGGACAGAACCAGCAAGCAGCAGTGCTGTGACGGAACTTCCCTTAGATAGATTTGGCCTTTGCTCTTATTAATCTAACTGCCAGAGGGGGTTAATCCCTTCATGGATGCTAGGGAGTGCTTGGCAGTCAGAGCAGACACAGCTCTGAGGCAATTCACTAGGCAGAGAGAAACCTGCCCAGCCACAGGGCTTTTGCCAGATACCAGAAAAAGGATGCTGTGAGATTACCAAACGATTGATACCACTTGCTGAAAATGGCATATAAGCATTGAGCTGTGCCACTGCACACGTGCAGTGCGCATCACACTTCAGGCAGCATTTAACTATTTCCAAAAGTGGCTGTGTGGGCAAACGAACTGCAAGGCACAGCAGGACCACGAGGTTCCTGGCAAGGGTAGGGGAACAGCAGGCAACATCCCAGCAAGAGATGTCAGCGAGTCGCCTTGGCCTTATAAGGGCCAGAAAGCAAGCTCAGCACACGCAGCCCCTTTCCCCAACGAGCTTCAAAGAAATCCGGACGTTTACTTACACCAGACGCTCCGTAAAGCTCCTTCGCGCTCCCCTACGAGATCACCCCGCCAACCCTTCGCTGGCAGCCGGCAACCGCACCACCCCCCCCCCGCCCCCCCACGCCTGCGGGGTCGCGATAGCTTCGTCACAGCGCTCTCGCGAGGCGTTACCTCCATCCCCATTTCCCCCTCCCCCCCCCGGTCACGTGACGGCAGACGAGGCACCGCTCCACCTGTCAGTGAGGCGAGAGGAGGGGCGCGTGCGAGGCGGGTCCGCCCCGCCCCTCTTCTCGCGCTCCGCCACGCGCCCGTCCGTTGGCGCAGGCGGGCCAACGGTCGCTCCGCCCTCGTGAGGGAAAAGTCCCTGAGCGGGCGCTGGCGGCGACGCGCCTTCCCCTCGGCTTTCCTGCGGCGGATGGAACTACCCGCCGTAACGCGAGGGCAGCGGCATCCGGGCACGGAGGACCTTCCTTTATCCGCCCTTCGGAGCGGGCGCTACCCACAGCCTAACGGCCCCTCAGGCGGCGGGTGGGCCTCCTCCCTTCTCCCCGCGAGAAGAAACCATTATGATCCGGTGGTGCCAAAAAAACACGCCCCGTGGCCGAGCCACGAGAAGGCGGCTGGGCACGGCTCTGTCCGGCTCGTGCGTGAGGTCCCATTTTTTCAATGCCGTCTACGCCCCCAGCTCGGAGCCCTCGTTACGCAACGCCACCCATGAACGCAGCGCACCCTCCTCCCCCTTTTCCTTCTCCTCCTTCTCCCCCCCCCCAAAGCCCGCACCGCTCCCGAAAACTTCCCCCCGCCTTCTCGCCCTCCGGTTTTTAAAGGGGCTCAGCAAACATGCTGGTACCTGATCATCGAAAAGCTCCTCTGATTGATGGGCTCTTCGCCCTCTCGTGAGCCGCGGCGGGCACAAAGCCCGCCTCCTCCCGCAGACGCTGACCAATGGCGTGAGGCCGCCGAGAGGGGCGGGCACTGAGCGCCAACCAAACCGGAGCGCAGCGGTGGAAGAGCGCTATGACTGACGTAAGTCAACAAAGGTCACGTGCAGCGCCGCGGAGGCGCCGATTGGCTGCGCGGGCCCAGGCGGGAGGGGAGGCGGTGGGGGTTGGGGGGGGGGGGGGGGAGGTGACGGCGGCGGCGTGGGGCTGGCGGTGTGACACAATTACAACAACTTTGGGCAGCCGCCGGGGAAGTTTGTACGGGCGGCGCACACAGCCCCGCTGCGGGAGGGCGGGCCGGGCCCGCGCCGCCCCGGCTCCGAGCGCAGCCCTGGCCGCCGGGGCGAGCGGCGATGTAAACACCGCTCGGCCGCCATCCTCCGCAGTCTCCTCCTCCCCTCCCCCGAGCCGCCAGCGCTGGGGCTCCCTCCCTCCTTCCCCCTCCCTCCTCCTCCTCCGAGCAGCGGGGCTTCCCCCCGCCTCCCTCCCTCTCCCCTCCCTCCCTCCCTCCCCCTCCCTGCCGGCTGTTGTTGTTGTAATAAAAGTTGTGGGGTGTGTGCGTGTCGGGCACCCCGCCCCGCCCGGCGCTGGGGGGTGTCGGGGGTGCGCGGGGGGGGGGTGCGATCGGCAGTTAATTACGCTGCGTTTCCATGAAATCGTGCGGAGTGTCGCTCGCCGCCGCCGCCGCCTCTGCTGCTCCTTTCGGTGATGAGGAAAAGAAAATGGCGGCGGGGAAAGCGAGCGGCCAGAGCGAGGAGGACTTCGCCAGCTTGACAGCCGAGGAGAGAGAAGCCCTATCCGGTCTCGACAGGTACCCGCTCCCCGCTCCGCGCCCGGCCTTCTCCGCGCCCGGCTCGGCCCGCGCTCTCTCCGCGTCCCCCCTCCCTCGCCCGCGGTTCCCCGCTCGGCGCTGCGCGTGTGCCCGGCCCGGAGCCGGGCCTGCCCGCCTGCCCGCGCGGGGGGAACTGCCTCCGGCTAACGCGGCGCCTCGCGCCTTTCCTTCTTCTCTCTCCTCCCTCCCTCCCGCCCGCCCGCTCCCCTCTCTGCAGCCGACTCTTCGGATTTCTGAGGCTTCATGAAGATGGCGCCAGAACGAAGGCCTTGCTGTTAAAGGTAGGAGCGGGGATGGATGGGGAGAGCGGCTTGGGGGTATGGGGGGGGGGGGGGGGGGGGGCGACGACAAGGAGCAGGGGGGGGGAGGGAGGGAGGCCTCGCCGCACGCTCCCCTGAGCCCACACGATGTGGAGCTGTGCGGGGCTCTCCCCTCTTGCCCCTCCTCACAACCGACGCGGGGACCGCGTTTGGGAGGAAGGCGGCGGTCCGGCACCGGGCCGGAGCCGGGGGCCGAGAGCGAGCGGCGGGGCGGGGGGGGGAAAGGGGGGGGCCGGAGGGGGCGCAGGGGAGGGAGGCGGGGGGGGGGGGGGGGAGAGGGAGGAGGAGGAGGCGGCGGGGGGAGGGCGCCCGCGAGGCGTTGCTGACGTTGCCCTCTCCCCGGACCCTCCCTCGCGATTTGGGCCCCGCGCGGCCGCGGAGCGCCGGGGGAGAAGTTGGGAGTTGGAAGGGGCGCGGAAAGCGCCGCCGAAGGGGAGCGCGACTCCCGGCCCCGAACTCGCGGCATGCCCGCCGCTCTCTCGCGGTCCTCCCCCGCATCCCCGCTGCCGGGCGGCTCGTCGGGAGCCCGCCCGGCCTCGCGGAGCGGCGTTCGCGTCCGCGAAAAGTTGTTGGCCCTGTCATTGAGTTAAGTAATGGCTGCTCCTGCCGGCCCAAGATGGCCGGACAGGGAGGAGAAAGAGGAGGGGGGGTGGGGTGGGGGGGAGATAAACACGAAACAAACACCGCGAAGAGACGTGCGCGTCGTGCGGAGCGCGCGGCCCGGCCGAGCGCGGAAAGGAAGGAACTCCGCGCGCGGTGTCCGGGCGCTGCCCGCGGGCGGGCGGGGCCTTATCAACCTGTAGCACGCGCCGCGCCGCGCTCCGCACCGCGCTGACAAAGGCCCGCAAGCTGCCGGGGGCTCCGCGCGGCGCTGCCCGGCGCTCCGCCGCTCCCCGCTCCTGACAGCAGCCGAGCGTTTGACACTTTGTTCGCCCCTTTGTGGTGTCCGGCCTCTGCGCTCCCGTTTACACGTGGAGGATTTCTAGCCGAAGTCGCGGCCCCGCGGCGGCCCGGGCCCTCGCTGGGCTTTGGGTGTTTGTTTGTGGCCTAATTGGAAAGGCTCGGTGTCAGGACGTGGGGGAGGGTGGAAGGAAGGAACGCGAAGCCGAGTGCGACCTTCTTTGTGTTTGCGTTTAAAAACCCACGCTGCTTCGGTTGGGTTTTCAGAGTTATTCATTCAGGTATTTATTTCCTGAATAAATCAGAAAGGTCGAGGAGTGATGTGTCACGGCGGTTATGTTTTGTACGTTAAGTGTGATGGGCCGGGATTCATCCCTGTGTGCTGCCGAGGCTGCCGGAAACGTCGCAGGGAATCACACATGGGATAGAGCCTAAGGATGCCGCTCAGAAAATAAAGGCATGGTATCGTTGAGGTTGCCTGTCTCACAGCATCTCTACCTCCCGTTGGGTTTCACATACTGTAAAACGAAGCAGTGCGGGTCACAGTTCGGCACGTTATTGAAGTTTTTGAGGCCTTTTTGAATACAGCACCTTTTTTTTTTTTTTCCCCCCACCCATTTGAGTTGCGTCTACGCTCTGTGTCAGGTAACTGAAGTTATTGGGCATTTTGATATTTTCAAAGTACATTTTTGGGAACGCTCATCCTCTTGCTGTATCGGCATATGATTCCATGCAGTGAATATTAACACAAATACAAAACCCAACGCCATCACAAATTGAAACTGGCAAATATTTTGATATTGCAGCTCTGTTTTCTGACAGTGCTTTGGACATTGATGAATTGCACGCTAATTTATGGAGCTTGCTCTTTGTGAAACTTGTCACTGAGAGAAGGAGATGGCTACGTAAAAAGGATTAAAATGTTACTGTGCAGTGCAGAAATCTTTCAAAGGCATTTCTTGGCTTGCTCAAGATTCAGATTTGTTTGTGCTTTTTTCCTTTGGGGAATGTGTGTATGTTTCAGTTACTGTTATCAGTAAGTAAAAAGTTGTTATTTATAAAATGTTCATTACTTAGTTCTGTGTGTGTGTGTGTGTGAAGCATTATAAGTTCTGTAATATCTGTGGTGGAAGAGAAGGTTTGGAGTAATTAATCTAGTAGGCCACTGAAATTTCATGTAATGGTCATTTTTATTGTAGGAAGTGTAGACATATATATGTACACTTAATTAATGGCTTTTGCAGTGATAGTAATGAAATTTTTCTTTTTTTGCACGGAGCTAGCAAAGACCTTAACTCCATAATTATGAAATCATAACTGATTTAAGAATCTTGGAGCCAGTGCATTGGAAAGCAATGCAAGATGTATGTGCAGGAATAGCTAGGAAAGCCACTGAGTCATGTTTTGAAAGGAATCCTTCACAGAGGCAGAAACATCAGTGTTTTGTACACTGCAAGAGCAGTGCATTTGCTACTGCACCCTTTGAGCAGAAGGCTGAAGCAGCACCTTTTTGGCAGTGCTCCCTGGTTGCCTGTGGTTATAGGGTGGCAGGAGTAGTGTGCCAGTCCTGGGAGGCTCTCTCTCAGCTTGCGAGTGTGGAGGGAATTGCTCCCTTCTTTTCCTGAGCTTGTGTTTAGCGAGAGGGCTCCGGTGAGGGCTTGAGTTTGGTGTCTCAGCACTGTGAGGTGCTGCTCCAGTTCTTAGGGGGTTTCCCTCGGCAGGATGCTGTGTGCTGGCTCAGGCCCTTCCAGGCCGGCCAGGAGATCTCATGGAGCCTTAGCAGTGGGAGCTGTGGTCTAACAAAGCCACACCCTGGCAGAGCGAGTGGTAAGAAATCCAGAATCTTTTTAAAGGATGAAGGAAGCCTCATGTCCGGAGCTTTAATGTGGCTGTGGGTTTTATTCCTTCTCCAGGTCTGGACTGGAGTCCGCCTTTTCAGTAGTTTTGCTGTATAGGATATATGACTGTAGCACCCTGAACTAAACTGGGTCCTGCTGCTGGGTGTAACAGATCAAAAGAGCAGATATGACATCAGATCTATACAATATTTATGGAGTATTGAAGATACCGTCTAAAGGTCAGGAATACGGTTTTGTTGC